GGATAAATACAAAGAAAGAGATTGTATTACAGAAGATAATTTGGAAAGTTTTATTATCAATGTTGGAGATAGTGATTCCAGTGACTCTGATAATGAATCCCTACATATGGAATTCTTAGATTCAGATTTTGATTATGGTGATTAAATAAATATTTTCTTAATCAATACAAAGATATTTTTTATTTATTTTATTTTTTTCTTTCTTACATCTCTCTATACTAATATAAAGCTGAAGAGTTTGTTTGTTTGATTGAACGCGCTAATCTCAGGAACTACTAGTTTGGATTCAAAATAATCTTTTTGTGTTGCACAGCCCCAGTCATTTATATTACTTGTGTATGTTATACATTATTGTATTATTAAATAATAATCTTATAAATTACTTATACCTTGTATTTTGCAAAAGTATCAAAATACTTTATTCCAAGAAATGCCTACTGTTTTTAGGGTGGTCATGCTTTTATTTTTTAAATTTGCCGCGCTTTTTCAGTGTCTACTTTCATTAGCCAGACTCTATGGTCTGTTATGAATAAATCACCTGGCAATTTAAGACTAGTGCCGTATAAAAAATGTGAGGGGCTATAGCCTAGATCTAACTTGACAGCTGTCCGTGAGCCTAGTAGAACTAATGGTAATTCCTGTATCCATTGTACATTTTGCCATGATGCTGCTTTTAAAGTGCAATGTAGTCGTTCAATCATACCGTTCGCTTTTGGATTCTATGCGGTTGTAAGAACGCGTTCGACGCCGAGTAGTTTTAATAATTGTGCGTATAAGTCGGACTCGAACTGACGACCTTGATCTGAACCGAAAACGAGCTATCCAGTTTTCTATTAAAACTTTAGCAACCGTTTCGGCCGTAATATCTTGTTAATCTATCTATCATGATTACGCAATATCTATAATCATCGGAATATGGCAACGGACCTATGATATATATGTACATGTTCAAAGCGTGACGCACCATCAAATTCGCCTATCGGTGTAAGCAACGAGTGGCGTTGTACTCGTAAATTACTTTTTGGACAAGGAATGCAACTTTGGACATATTTCTTTAAATCGCTATTCATGCTGCAATTTAAGCAATCGCCTTGTTGCCGCGATTCCGGGATGGCTGAGGTCATGTATATTTTTAATAGTGTGTTCTCGAAACCGTGCAGGTAAAAGTAAGGGCGAATGTTATTAGTTGATATTTCGCAAGTTATTTGAATATCAGAGTCTGGAATTGTGAATAATTTAAATGGATCACCATTTTTAAAATCATTTTTTCTTGCTATCAACCAGCCATTTACCACCGAAACATCAGTAAAGTAGGCAAATATTAGCCACCATCATTTGTAATACGCATTCCAGTGCGTAAATTTGCAATCAGCTGGCCACATTTGTCTACCCCTTCTCTTCTTAGTTTGTGACCTTTTCGGAGGAAAAATTCGCGTTCTTAGAGAAGCTAGTGATATGCTATCTTCACCATCGCTTTCTTCACTAGAGGCCTGATTTTCAGCATTACAAGGCGAGCAGCATTCAGCATTACAGCACTCGAAGAGATTGATGGGGCCGGATCATGTCTCTTTGTTTGCAACTGACGTAGTTCACATCCACTTTGGAGTAATACACGCCCCAAACGATTTAGAATGGCATTCTGTTCATCAGACTGCAGACTTGTCACTGTCCTCGTCTGTAGCTTGACCACTCCGCTCAATAGGTGGTTCAACATAAACTATATTATCAATATAATCTTCATCAGATTCGCACTCCAAAACTGATAAAATCTCATGCATCTTCAAGCTGTAAAAAGCAAGCAAACACCGAACAGAAAAGCCCGATATGCATAACAGGCTGACTTTCAATCAGCCGAGTAGCTGAACGCAACGTTTTACAATACGGCTGAACATAAGTCCGCGAGTGTTAAGTGTGCTTTTCAAAGTTGGCTACACCTAATTCTGCGCTGCGGGATATCTCCGTTTAAGTCATTTACTTCAACAGGGAAATCCCACATACATACGATTAAAATTCGCACAGTTTATATGAACATTTCTTTTTCTTTATTTATATTTGCTTACCCACAGATTTTTGCGTTTGCACAGTCGTGCATCAGCACTAACATTGGAAAGGTGTTACGCGGTTCATTTCCTATTTACTCAAAAATGACATTGAAATGTTTATAATGCCAATTCAAAATAGGCTATGGAACAATTTTCAGAGCAAAGTACTATGATAGGCAATTAAAAACGAGGTTGTGAATCAAACAAGTTAAAAAAATAAAATTGTCCTGTAGTTCATTTTTAGAATTCCGTTACCCTTTGAGTGGTAAAACGGGAATCCTATTACTATGGCTTCGTAGTTGGTCTATCTGTATGGCTGTCACCAGGCTGTATCTTATATACCGTGAAAATTAGACTGTTGAAACTTTCAAAAATACTAAAAGGTTTTTACTAAAAACCAGAATAACATTTATAGGGGCTCCCATACAACTAATGTAATTTTTATTCTCATTTCCGGGGTTGGAACCTTGCGTGCGTGAGTCCGATTCGCATTTGACTGGGTTTTTTAAACGTTTATCTTCACCGGAAGCAACATAAAACTGAAAATAATTGAACGGAATTTTTATCGCAGTGCGGTCAAGGTATTTTGTCACTACGATTTTTTTTCGGCTCTCAACCTTATGGGCATGGGGTTCGGAACCACCCTCCCAACGGGGAAGGAGGCGGTAAATCCTTCATTGGATACCACACAGCTGGCTGTGTGGTTATGTCAGTTATGTTGCCTGTTTTTTATACTGATTGATAACTAATCAAGTTGATACTCATTAAAAGTAATGCCTTTATCCATTGTTTATTTTCTTATTATTGTAGAAATATAAAATAAACTACATACAAATAAAAAATAAAATGGTATATCCCTTAATTACTTAAAACAACGTTAGAACATCCAATAAGTAGAAAATAATAAGTGATTTGCAAAGAATTCTATTTAATTTGTAGTGCGGTCATCTCGAGTTCGATTCTGTCGCGTCACAGGCAAGTCGGAGGCTGCAGGCATTCCGCGCGAAAACACGCAGTTTTAAACACGAATACGAGTTGTCTATTGAGTTTTGAAAAGTTATTTACATTTAAATATGAAAGAAAACCGGAAAAGAAAGTGCCGTAGCAATATCTAGTTTGATTTCGGGAACTTTTTTTTTAAATACTTCCTCATTAGCTGATGTCAAATGACAGTTCAAGAACTAACCAAAAATCGTTTTTTTTTTATTCACATTCAGTTTATAAATTCTGAATGCAGATTACTTTACGGATGCAATTTTGTTGCTTGAATGTTTTAAAGTTATTAAAGTTTACTTACAATAATAGATTTATACTTTAAAAAATCATCAGTATTAGGTGCCCGATATGTGATGAAATAATTTTTAATTACTTTTTATATAACTATCTCTCTATAAATTAATTTATTGCTTGGTAAATATTAAATATCAATGAGGAAGCATTTAAAGAAGAAAAAAGAAAGTTATAAAAAAGCACCTCACTAGATGGCGACTCAACCAAAAATTGATTTTGCAGGAAACGAATGGACCAAAGACAGTAATTTTCGTTCCTTTTAACTAATATATTAAAAAACTGAATTTTGCATAGTTCAAAACTTAGATATCAATACAAATACGAAAAGTACAAAAAGAATATGAGTTGTTTATTGAATTTTGAAAACTAACATACTTTTATACATGAAAGGAAAGAAGGGTTGTTATGGAGAAATCAAGAAAGTGCCGTAGCGACATCTAGTTTAATTTCGAGAACTTATGTTTTTTTTTACTTCCTCATTATTAATAAACTATTTACTAATTTTGACAACGAATAAAAATATAGACACAATGTAAAATGTAACAGACAGACAGAACGTAATTTCACTTAAACAAAACGAAAAGAATAATCCTAAAAAATTTTAAGTAAAGCCTATATCAAGAAAGAAGTCGCGCGACATAACTCTTATTTCTTTGCAATAAAAGCGAAATTATTGTGATCCGAGGCAGGGCTTGGAAACCGGTTAATTTTTTGAACCGGTTCGACGTAAGTACATGCAAAACTTTTCATAAAAGGTTCAGCTCCTTTGAACAGGTTCACTAGAAATACGGTTTTCTTCATTAACCGGTTTAAATATGATTCCAAACAATGATCTCACAAACTTCAGCGCGATTTTTAAGTGCCTTTACTCCTATTTATAACATCCAGGCAAACTATATATGATAAATGTCGTGGCTTAAAAATGATATAATTCCCATTAAAAGCCTAGGAACATTGCTTTTTACGAACCAAGCAAATTAACCAGTTTTTATTCCATCCGAATTTCACTCCGCATATAGTTCCGATCCGGAACGGAACATTATAAGAGAACAGGTTTTACCTAAATAAAAACGGTTTATTCTGAACCGGTTTCAAGCCCGAGGGACTTCTTTCGTAAGGCGAATTCCATCTACTAAATAACAATGCAAATAACAACGTTATCTTACTGGTATAGGTATTACTAGTAGATGATGTATAGTCAACTGCATGTCAGATTATACCAAACTGTGAAACTTGATTTTAAACCAATCAGCCTTATCCTCCAAATAAATAAAAATAAAGTAGGCTTACACAGTTCCGCTCATAGCTTCGTCTGTGTATTCAGAAACCATTTCAATACAACAATATTTCATGACATTCTAATGTATTTTAGTAGATCATTTTTCAGTATTTAATCAATTTTTTTTTGAGGAGTTTATTATCAACTGTGGAAATTATTTCATAATAAGGTTTGAGTAGTTCTGTATCAAGTATTAATGCAATGATACCGGGTAATTAATAACCGGGTCGGTTAATATATATCAGGGACTAAATTTTTTGTATTATATAGTTTGCCTGGATATATTGCATCATAATATAATAATAACTTAATATAAGTAATTATTATTTCTGATTTTCACATTCATATGGCTTTTCATCAAACATGTAATAAATAAAAAAACTTTTATTAGCCTTAGTATCCATGTTATATTAGTACTATGTTGTAACGCCTTAGTAAATTGAGGATAGAGATCAAAAGCTATTGCAAATTTTGACATATTTCGATAACCTTACGTGCAGCGAAGTTTATAAGACCAACGTAAAAGTACTTTTGTATTAACAACGCTTTATTGGTAAATATATTTAGGTAATGAATAATGCCTGGTTTGTGAAAAGTTGTGAATTCGAGTTCACTTTAGCTAGGACTGATCTTCTTTATCTTTTAAGCCACTTTGTCAGCTTTTAATATACAAGATTCTGTTATATTTGATGTAACACAGAACAATTTTTGTATTAGTAATTTTACTAAAGTAAATATTGATTTGACAAATTCAGTTTAAAACTGAAAAGACAAAGGCCAAATCGACTTATGTTAATATAATGCTTCAAATATTTGGCCGGCAAGGACTAATAATTAGAGTTATTTATTAAATCTAACGATGTAGAAATAGTTTATTAAACAGAACGTTGACTGCGACCTGATAAAATGTCATTTTGTTTAAATAATTTTCATTTGTAAAGTTCATATGTACGCAAAGGAGCATAATGCGGTGGATCATTGATATTTGTTAGTAATAATTTAAAATGTAAGGAACGGAAGATATCGTAGAATTAACGGTAGAACGAGATACTGAAGTTTATTGTGTAGAATTGAGTATTTTAAATATAGTATGTGATTACCGACCACCTAAGTAATGATAGTGTTCTTGAATAGGTAATTGAGGATGATCTTCAAAAATTAAAACTCAAAAAGCAAATTTTTGGTTGTATGTGGTGATCGTAGTTAATAGGATTTGTTAATCTTATCGTCAGTATTTAGTTTTTATACCATTATGATCAAACAAAAATTTGGGTTATGATTTGGAATAAAGGGAATCACAGATTAAAGCCATTTGACTTATATTCCAGAACTGGCAAAATTAACAATGCTACTTAATTTAGAACTTTAGAACTTATTAAGGCCCGCGAACGTATTTGCACACTAAAGTTTGGCCCACAATATGACCAAAGTTTAAACAATGAAAATTATTCATTTTATTCACATTTAAATAGATTAATACTATTGTATTTTTTTAACAAAGTGAAATTATCAAAAACATAGCTCTACTCTTAAGTTTTAGATAATTCCACCTAAAAATCAATAGTTATGTATTCAAAAACTCTTCTACAATATGGACTATATTCTCTGGTGTTTCCAAATGTACATGATGTGTTCCTTTCACTTCTTCGTAACGCACAATTGTATTTTCTTTCATTTTTTCAATGATGTCAAGATAGTAGTCCAACCTTTCTCGCTTCAGTCCAGGTATTGCTCGTATATTTAAAACTTTGCACCTGATCCTACTAGCATATACCAGAGCAGTATTTATATCCATTGTACCTATCCCAATAACTTTTAACTTGGGATCTCTTTTAAAATAGTAGCCTCTTTTCTTATTACATATAGGAGCTGCAGCTAATCCTCTCTTCATCAAAACGATACAGTTTCTTCTGGAAACAGAACCATTGTACCCGTCACATGCAATATCAATCATAAAATCGTAATCAAAACATGGCGTTAGTTTTTCTTTTGGTAAATTTTCATAATCCAATAGTTTGTCTATACCTGTCCCTGTATGACTAGCTGCAACATGGGGTTCTCTTACAGCTGGACTTGCAGAGTCGATACATATGATTCTGTCTACTTCTTCAGGAAATGATGCCGCATACATAAAACTTATGGCGGCACCAAGTGAATGTCCCATTAGTATCACTTTAGACCAATTATAATGTTTTATAATTCTTCTGAGGAGAATTATGCCGTCCCAATATGTATAATAGTTCATTCCTTTAGGGTAATGGGAAGATAAACCGTGACCGGGTAAATCGAGACAGAGTACTGCAGTTGTGACAGACAGCAAAGGAATAAGGTTATCCCAAGTTCCAGCATTGTCCTGCCAGCCGTGTAAAGCAATTACTGGTTGTTTATTCCTAGGACCCCACCAACGGCCGGCTACGTGCCCCCACGGAACCGGTATCTCAATTTCTTCTATGATTCCTTAAAATAGAACAAAATTGTTAGTTTAATATTAGAATACTAATTATACTTAAACCTTTCACTATCTAAATGCGTATAGGTATGATTAATTTAGTTTAGCGAAGAACCGAGACAGGCAAGCAAAAGATCTTATAAAGAGTGTTTAAGTACTTTTCTTTGGTACGGTACACAAAAAACTTCGCATTTAAACTGTGTAAAAAATTAAAATTAATGAGGAAAAATTAAAAAAAAAAACGAAAGCACCACCGCCAGACTCTAACAAAAGTTGATTTTTGCAGGAAACGAATGGACCAAAGTCAGTCATTTCCGTTCCTTTTAACTCAAATATTAGAAAACTGAAATTTTAAAAGTTCGAAACTTAGATATCAATGCAAATACGAAAAAGTACAAATAGCTTATGAGTTGTTTATTGAGTTTTGAAAACTAATTTACTTTTCAACAAAAAAGAAAACCGGAAGGTTTGTCATGGAGAAATCAAGAACATACTGTAGCGGCATCTAGTTTGACTTCGGGAACTTTTTTTTTAATATGTACTCATTGGAATTGTTTGGAATTTATCCCGTTAAAAAACCATTTAACGGGATAAATTCCAATGACCTAACTATAATTCTTAACCTAACCAGGTTTTAATCTGCGGTGTCAGGGTTTGTATGCAATACCTGATTCTAGATTTTAAAATTAAAAATATGTAATATATTTAGTGATTCCCAGAAAATTGAACTTTTATAACTTTTGAGATTGTTACCGTAGATTCATTCCAGTAGTTCCGTAGATTTCCTCTAGTTTTCCAGAAAATTATAATGAAATTTACCATATTCAGTAGGATATAGATGGTATACCCACCACAAAATTTAATTCCACAAACTTGCCGTTAGATTCATTGTATATTTTTGATCATTCGGAGTTTTTTTTTTTTTATTGTGAAGAAGATGAAATAAATTGCCAACGTCGTGTTAAGTGATAAAAGATTATAATAACAAAACTCTGATGAGACATTGCAAAATTATAAAATTGATCATTAAAGAAATTTTATTCGATAAACATGGATTTTGCTAAGTTAAGAAGAAAATAATTAATATTTATCCCATTTGTGAACAGTTCACTGACCAATTGAAAATTCAATGAACTTTTACTTACTTTGTTCCATTTCATATAAGATCACATTTGTATCCGTTTTCTAATTTAGATAAAATACTTATTACAAACTCAGTAGTTTACAATCTGCATTTAGTATGTTTGACTGCTTTTAAGTAACTCATACACATGACTAATAATACGCTTTAGGTTGCGGTCTTACGTATGTGAGTAATTTTTACATTGACGACATTTTACATTCGTCATCGGCTAGGTCAAAAGTCAAATAAAACAAGGATATATTAAAAGTGCGCATAAAAATGAGACGAAATCAAGAGGTTAGTCAAAGATAAAAAGAGATAGATAAAATTGAATTCATCAAAAATATAAATTGATATTTTCCCTTTTTTATTGTTTCTTGTTTTTAATTGTTAAAAAAAGTAAACTAGCTATCCAACAAAGGTGACTTGGTGGGAATTTAGATCCAACTGCGAATGAGGAAGTATTAAAAAAAAGAAAGCACTGAAAAGTACCTCACTGGATGGCGATTCTAGCAAAAGTTGACTTTGCAGAAAAACAATGGACCAAAGATAGTCACTTCCATTCCTCTTAACTAAAATATTCTTATATACTTTATTATTATGCAAAATGCGCAGATAAGCCATTAATAAAAGAAGAAAACTTCCGGGTTGTCGTTATTGTAAAACTATTGGAATCTACAATGTGATTTTAACATTAAAAATTGAATAGTAAAATATTATTATGAATTTTAACTACCATGTTCTTTTCCAAAGGATTACTTTATGTCTCTGCCTCAAAAACTACAAATAAAACTTCGAACAACAATACAATTAGATAGTCCAGTCAGAGTCTCAAAGATTTCTGAAAAACACCTCACTACAAAGTACCTACTTATTTTGATTTCGTTTGTTTGCGACGGCGCCAACGTTCGGAATGATTACGATGTCACGTGCGTATTAAAACTGCAATTATAACTATCGGAATAAAAATGTATCTATTGCAATATTATATTTACGGGTTAAAATAATCGAGTATTGTTTATCCAAGCGACGAGCCAACATGGCAGTAATTAAAAAATAGAAGGCCAAATATTCAATGTTTGAAGTACATACATGAAGTAGTGTACTATTACATTGTTTTACCAAAAATTTGAACAATAATTGAAAACCATTTTGGTGACGTGGTTCGTGTTTTCGATTACAAAGTCGCGTGCATAAATATATAAATATTATGAGTATCTATTTACAACAAAACTTTTTAAAGCAAAAGATGCATTCCCTGTGAGTGACTTAAATTGGTGATTGCTTGTTATTACTTTTTTAATAGAAATAAAGGTTGAATATACCATCGACTTCGGATCTTATAGCCAAATAAAACAGATCACACACCGAAAACCTAAAGTAACAGTTAGTCTGTAAATATTAAAAATATAGAGAGTAATCATTTTCTTATCGGAGTTTGTTTCACCGGTTCTTTGGAAGATAGATTGTATCGATAGTACTGAAAGATTATTTAGCTATAAATTGCCTTCTTAACATTGTAACGTAAAAGACTTAAATTATAATGTGTGCAAAGATAATAGATTTTACTGTGGTATTATGTTTCTTAGTTGTTGTGTTGCAGTGTATGGTCTATGGTTTGGTGCCGATTTGAGTCTGTAGATATTGTTTTGTATGAGTGGCATTATCTCGTTACATTGTTGATCGAAGAAATAAAATTAAAAATCTCTAAACCGAAACAATACCTATTTTAAGAACAGGCTGTTTAAGTAAGATCCCTTTGCTTACATATAAAGAAGAAAGGTTTTGCGTCACCTTCAAGTCAGATGAGGGATGTTCAATATTTTGTTTTGTATCGATTTTTTGGATCTTTTGATCGAGTCATCGATAATCTAATCAAGATTCGAAATGTATTGCATTGATTAGATCCCCTTCGATCTTGGAATATCGATCAAGTAATATAATGCAAAGAATATCACGTACAAAGGTTTTTATGGTTGTATTTAAGGTTTTGATTTCAATAAAAATAAAATTATCTGTCTATAAACTTTTCATAAAGAGTAGATTTGATAAACGTTCTGGATCTAACGAATTATATTATGGGCATACTACTAGGACTTCTAATGCCGTAGTTTGTATTTGCGAAATCCCACATAAAGACAAGTATTAATATTTATATAAGTATACATAAGGCAAATAAAACAAGAATTAGGCACTCAAATTAATTTCAGTTTTACTATCAGCATGAGATCAATTAATGTGTTTCTTTGCACTGAAAACTGAAAAACAAAAATCTTTCGCCTACAATATCATCCATTGATCTACTAAATAAAAAATTCACTAAAACATTTTCAACATTAAGTTGAAAATTTTATAAAATTAATTATGACTTTTATAATTTAGTTTGGTCAATTTTTCAATCAGTGCGCGTCTAGTCATCAAGTGATCTCGCACCCGAGATGTCGTGTGTATGTATCTTTCCTGTTCCGCAAATTCCTCCTATACCGCGCCTGTAATGATGTACCGTGCCAATTTAGTTGCGAACATTGCCAGCAGCTTTCCCAAAGTGGAAATTAATTGGAAGTATTGGATAAATCTTCTATATTTTGTAAATATTTTATGTTAATTTAAATTGCAGGGGCACCAGTTACTATGGGCGTACCTCAGGGATCGGTATTAGGACCATTGTTTTTTCTAATTTATATTAATGATCTTCCTCACTTTACGAAGAATTTGTGCGAGACAGTATTATTTGCAGATGACACCTCTGACAGGAATAATGATTGTTTTGACGATGTAAATGATGCTCTCGACAATGTTCTACATTGGTTTGATAGTAATAATTTAAAGCTCAATTCAAATAAAACGAAATGCATAAAGTTTGCATTACCTAATGTGAGGCATGTCAGTACACTTATAAATATAAATAGTGAAAAAGTTGAGTTGGTAGAATTGACAAAGTTCCTTGGTATTGCACTAGATTCCCGACTGCAATGGGATCCTCATATTGATAGCTTGTCAAGTAGACTGAGTTCTGCAGTTTTTGCTGTTAAGAAAATTAGACTCTTGACAAATGTTGAAACGGCAAGATTGATATATTTTAGTTATTTTCATAGTGTAATGACGTATGGTATATTGTTGTGGGGTTCTGCGGTTAGCATTCAGTATATTTTTATTCGACAAAAGAGAGCTGGCCGTGCTATATACAATTTACAGTCTAGGGAATCTCTCAGAGAAATATGTAAAGAAATAAATATTCTGACTGTTGCCTCTCAATACATCTATGAGAATATTATGTACACAAGAAAACATTACGATTCCTTCACTAAAAAGTAGTGTTCATAATTTTAAATAAAAGTAAACTTGCCGTTCCAAGCTTCAGACTTCAAAAGACTAGAGGATCATTTCTGGGTAAATGTATGTAGCTATGTTCAATAAAGTTCCACAAAATGTAATTGATCTACCCATAAATAAATTTAAAATTCATATAAAGAATATACTTATGAGGAAAGGCTTTTATAAAGTTAATGATTATTTTAAGAACCGCAATGCATGGAATTAATAGCCTTCGCTCTGTTCTATCACGACTAATTATAGGTATGTACCAACCTATGTCCTACAGACTTTGAAACTTGTATTTATTATTGTTCAGTATATGTACTATTTTGGTAATGACATGATTTATGTAATGACCGAGTAGCTCGGTGGCGTAGTGCATAAGCGCCATGGCCCGCGATCGTAGTCGTTAAGCAACTTTTGCAAGAGTCGGTCACGGGACGGGTCACGAAATGGGGACCAAAACAATTATTATCTCGAGTTACTACGTGCTTCGGAAGGCACGTTAAGCCATTGGTATCGACTGCATTTGCAGTCGTTAATACCCTCCAATCCGCATGGGGCCAGCGTGGAGGGGCATGGCCCATCCTCCTTAACCATCCATTAGGAAGGAAGGCCTGAGCCCCCGCAGAGGGGACGTAAAAGGGCTGGTGATGATGATGGTGATGATGATTAATGTATATGTCATTACTTATGATCAAGAGCTGGTAAGTTTCTTTCGCTTGTTCTTCTTGTTAGCTAAAAGACGTCCTGAACAAGTGGTAGGGGAAAAATATTTTTGGATGATTCAAAAGTGCTTGTAACAAGCTTACTTGAATAAAACATTTTCATTTCATTGCTTTATAATTATCTATGTACTAGAAACTAAAGTAGGCATTAAAATGTCATAATGATGAAAATTCCCAGATGGTTGCCAAAAGTTCCCGGCAAAATTCCCAGCAAAATTTCCAGTTTATTGCCAGTAAATTCTCAATTAAGTTTCCAATGGTGAATGTAAAAGTAATTACCTATACGATACAATGTTATTAATGGAGTCAACTCTTTTAGTTGAATATTTGGTAGCATTCGAAATCAAATAAAATTAAAATATTCATGTGTGTTTTTTTCCTTCATTAGTTCAAGTTCTGTTCTATATAGCAGATTTGCTTGTTTTGTTGTAAGTTTGCTTCTTTTATTTATTTATTGATATTTCTTTCACAAATGTACAATGGCGGACATAATGCCGTAGGCATTTTCTATCAGTCAACTTTAGGGTGATGTGGAGACAATTGGTTGGTAATAATATACAATTTTATTATTACGAATATGTGAGAATGATGTAAATAACCTCTTTATTGAGAATGATATGGTTGAATTTATGCTAAATTATAATTAAAAGTATGCCAAATTTAAATTTTGTTTGAAGAATTTATGCAAATGGACAGGGACAGCATCTTCTAATATATAAACTGGTTCTGCTATACAATAACTCCACGATATATAAATCTAAGTAAAATAAATATATCGTCTACTCAATGGGTGCGCGATGACAGCGCCAACTAGTGATTTCAATTACGTCGGACTTTGATATGTCAAATGGCTTGTGTTTAGTACGAAAAGTAATATACAAACAATAATTACAATAAAAATATCATAATTTACTTAGATTCTATTAAATCTGTGTCAATGATATAATATGTTGATATTTTTATTTGCCATCTAATTGTTGCCGACTTCACGGGAAATAAGTAAAGAAATTAACAAAATTCTAAAAATGCATTTCATATATATCGAAGACAATTAATTATAAAAAATGATTTCAAGTTATCACACACGGCACAGCTTTCCACCAACAAACGAGAATAAAAGTAAACAATGAATTTTACCATGTTAAATATTCATAATTTATTAGTCGTGGTTACATGTTAATTGTTCAACTATATAAAATAAAAGTCTTTACACTAAAAGTAAACTGCATTATGATTTTTTTATTTCAATTTTATTCTTGGAATTATAATAAAAATCCAGAAAACAGTACCAAAAAACATACACGGGATTATTTTTTGAAAATATTGAGGACTGCAAATTTACTAATACTATGCAAATTATCATCAATACGGTATAACAAATTTTGAGGAATTTAATTTAATATTTGATAGACATTATCCTCTCGACATTGATTACTTCTTTTTCCATTAACTATGGTTTAGTTACGCATGTTTATTTATTTTATTTAAATTTCACGGATGTCACAACTTCTGAAGTAAAACTTAACAGCTTGTCTGAAAATAGTTCATTTTTTCATAACGGTACGCGCTGTGATCGATTAATGGAGCTCTCACCACTACTTTGTACCCAGCGAATACGTAATACAAAAAAATTACTGGGAATTTAACAAAAAAAATTCCGGCAGTGGCAATATTCCCAGACTTACATCACTACCCACAACACAGAGTTAGAATAAATGTGCGTGATTCCGCAATATCGGTATTAGAAGCCTTATTTTATACTTATCACAATCTTTGATTATACGAAACCAATAACAAACAATGAAAAGATACACTGGGAGGAACAAAATGACCGACACAGCCGAAAGTTTCAAGTTAGGTTACATGCAAACGTTCATTTTATTTGACAAATATTTAAAAATAGAGGAGGTGTAAAAATGGAGTAAAAATTTTAAATTTCTAAGTGTTAACAGCCCTATAACGCGCATGCGCAATATCGATTGTGTGCAGATTACAACGAACCGCGAAATATATTAATTTTATTTAATTATTTACCGATATCTTAATGATAGTCGATGCTGAAAATGTCCACTTCCTCTCTGAAGACTGAGCTAAGCACGCTCTTTTCAATGCCGGTGCATGCACGCGCAAAACACATCACATTTCACACAAAACTAAACACAATCTTCACTAAACTAAACTTAACACTCAAGACGAACACTCTAGTATCTTATTAACAAAAATTCAATTAAAAATGCACTAGAACAAAACAAAAATCGACAAAAAAGACGCTTCGCAGCGGTGCGTCGGCGGCGATGCGCAACAACACTCCAGCGCAAAAGGTCGACGGCGACTGATCGGCCGGAAAATATCGACAGAATAATGAAGCCGCCTGGCGGCTGGCGGGCGGGTGGGGCTTTGATATCGAGGGACGAACTCGGTTCACATTTTTTTTTCGTCTTTTGATATCACGCATTTTTTAATGTTCTTTTTAAATGCTATTTTAATAACAAATTCCTCAATGATTTTAAAACAAAGTTCATTTGTGTTAATGATGAATCGCTGGAAGATTTGTGAGTTTATCGAGTTTAATTAACGATCCCGTTGTTAAAGGAGTATTACCCCATTCAAACAATTTTTTTGGAGAATTGCTCTTTTAAAATAACGTAGGTTAATGTTAGACTGATCTCTCTACAATAATTTAGGAAATTTTACACTCGGTTTCTTAATTGAGAATTTAAAGTTAAACGTCTCAAACTAACATCACTTAGTTTTCGTTTCGATTTTAGTTTTTTGATGATCAGTTGATAGCAGTTTGATAAAACTAGGACTATTTGACTTGTGAAATTAAAAAAACTTAGGTTATTGAGAACAAGCAGTAGAAATTTTCTACTTTTTTCAAATCAGAAACCGGCTGTTAGTCTGTAAATCGATTTAAGCATTTTGACTGCCTTGTTTATTGATTGTCTGGTAGAATTTGCATGAAAGCAGTCTTATAAATCACAAACTAGTTTATTTCGTTTTTAGAAATGAAGAAGTCAATGACCAATTTAAAACTTTTCCTTAGTACGTCCCAAAAACAGCTGACTCAGGGTTGAAAACACTCATTTTTTTTCAAAAACTTTGTAATTTAATATCTCCGAAACTATTTGACCTAGACTTATAATTTTTTTACATCATATTAAAGACAAATAGTACTCTCCAGGAACCTCGGGAGTGTCGGTCGTTATGTTCTACCGAATATGCGTGATTTTACTTTGTCGCAGATACACACTATGGACCACTGATAATTGCTTGTGTTTTATTGACACTGTTTTTTTTATTCGATCTGATTTTAGGTCGTATTCTATTGAACTGATTTAAAAAAATGGTATATCGTCATGTCGTGAATCGCTCTTCTAAAAGATCTATTCAGATTAGGAATCTCTACGTCTAATAATAGGGATTATTATTATTATTTTTCCTATTTAGTAGCATTATTTCTTTTTTTTTATTCGTTCCTCTTTATTACGATTTTTTTGAAGATGGCTTATTTTTTTGAATTTGGTTTACCCAAATCGATATTAAAGGATCATGGTTATCGATGTTTTTTTTGTTTTCCGATATCTTTGCATCCCTATATCAGTCAATCAGTCGTGTACTGTCGTACAAAAAATTTGACACAGTCTTCAAAGGAAAGAGAAAGAATTTGGAACGAAATTGAAGAACAAAAAGTGATTTTTGCCAAGAAATAACGTAATCTACGGCGACAAAACTAACTACAATGACCGAGAAACGTAAGACTAAAAAGCGCAAGGAGGTAAGTCTGTTATTTAATTATTAATAGAAAATACTGTAATTATGCTATTGTGTTTTTGTCTACGTTTACGTTTCCATATTGCGGTTTTTCCCGATGAGAAAATTATACATATGGTTATACATTTCTACGTATCACTTTTCCCGGATTGAGTGATGAAAGTTCACCCTGTTTTTGGCTTTACTTCCGAGACAAAGGAAGAAATTGAATGACGTGCGTATTTGTTTACTATTTCTGTAATGCGTGGTATTATTTCTGCGTAGTTTTTGGTGCCCGGCATTGATGATTCGGCTTTTTTGTTTAATATTTTGTCTTTTATTCAATTTACGCGTTACAATTTTCATTCGTCAAGTATACTGAAATAATTGTAGTGACAAGGGAACTAAATGTTGTCACGTCTTTACACTTTGCACAATATCCAATCAAATTATTTGAAATAAATACAATATTATTTTAAAATGTTTTTTAATAGAAATATTTTCGTGACAATCGATAATGGAAAATGTTATATATTTGAAATTGATATAATCAACTGGTTATGGATAAGACATTTTAAAATGCAATCTGTTTATAATTTCCTGCAACCGCAATATGTTAAGCTTATATTATTTATCATCACACAAAGCACATTAAGCATGTAAATTTTTCTATTATCTACCACACAAAATGTACCTTAAAATATCTCTGGTCATCAGTATGAAGGTGTTGTCAATTTTTGGTCAAAATGACTTATGTCAATAGAAACATGTAGAAAAAAATTGCATTTGAATGGTACAATTAGCGTAAGTCTATTATGTATATTAATAGATATATTAACTATTTTGAAATTCTATTCATTTCCAGTCTTTCTGTGGAAATTTTTGAAACCTTCTTTTTGCTCTCCTGAAAAATTGATGATTTTGACTTAACACCTTTATACCGCTGACCAAAGATATACAAATTACAATAAAATAATTTATAACTACCAGAGCACCATCATTATGGTTATAAATGGACTATTGAAATATTTATTTTTATCTATTTATAAAGTCCTCTTTTACCATTTGTAAAATTTTGAATAGTTTTTGAGTCCAACACCTAATTATGCGTTATAGACGGTAGATAAATAGACAATTATAATTATATTCAATTCGCTTACATCTCCTGCCCTTTTCAATAGTTTTTATATAGAACAGTGGTTCTCAATTTTTTCATGATTGTTACCCCAATGACCTATTTGGAAAATAACTGATTTAGTCCTGACTGTTATTACAACTATATTACGCACCAACGATAGAGGTAAATTACGCTAGCAGCGACCAGCTTTAGTTGTGTTAATGTCAGTGGTGACACATGTCAGTGGCTATACCAATGCCTTGTGGCTCAAAGGGCTTAATCACCGTATCCTCCAAAATTAGCTTTGAATGCCATCTTATTCAGTTTTTTCTGTACCATCAAAAGGTAATTTTTAAGTTCACAAATTCTGATAACAATGGTGACTTAATATAAGATTTTTGACTTCTGAAAAGTCATGTTTTGGCGATTGTTATGCTCTTTTTGATCTTCAAGGCATTGATATAAATAAGTTTGTTTCCCTTTCTAGTGTAGTTGTTAAAATATAACAAGATTTGCAGCCAGTTGCTCAAATATTCACTAAAATTGTCATTAGTTTAAAGTGACATTACCGATTCAATATAGGTGTCATTAAAACTTAATGGACATTTCTGCAACTGACCAATGTTACAGAGAAAAAGTATTCTTATATGAATGTCTATTTAAGAAACTGAATCTTTTTATCCAAGATATGAAAGTTTTAATGATGTAGCTTTCCGTAGATGAAAGAATTTTTAAAATTAGTCCAGTAGTATAGAGCTTATTCAAAGTATAGAAAAATATAACAGGTAATCCATTAACTCATTAATGATTGTTTTTTTACAGCGTAAGAAGGTTTGTTTGGTTAATTTTCTTTTATCCTTTTTTGATTTTGCACATGTGTTTATTTCAACTCTCTTTTGAATCACATAAGGCTGTATGTGTCAATTAAATTGGGAATCTTTTCTACAGTTCATTTTCACCTTTATTTTCTGATGCAATCTAAATATATATAACTCATAGGTGACTAACTGACGTAGTGATCTATCAACGCACAGTTGAAACCACTGGATGGATCAGGCTGAAATTTGGCATACAGGTAGATGTTATGACAGAGGCATCCGCTAAGAAAGGATTTTGATAAATTCTACCCCCAAGGGGATAAAATAGGGGATGAAACTTTGTCAATTTTAAACTGATCGGGCTGAGACTTTGCATGCATAAAGCTACTATGACGTAAGCATCCCCTAAGAAAGTATTTTGATAACTCTACCCCTAAGGGTATAAAATAGGGGATGAAACTTTATTTCAGGATTTTTACATGATATATTGAATAAATATTTGTTAGAAATGCTGCTCAGAGTAACTTTACTACGCGGACAAAGTCGCGGGCATAAGCTAGTATTGATATAATTTTTATAATGTTGCTCAAAAGCAAATATAAATTATACTTTTGATTATTTATGATCCTTATTGAACAGAGAATATTGTCTTATTGAATAGTGCAGATAACTATTGGAATAGTTCATAGCAGCTTTTGTTTTTAATTAAACCTAACATAGTAGAGAAAGATTTTCATAAAATAAGCAATAGCACTTTTTTGGGCTCCTGGATTGAGGTACTGGTCTGAATAAATGAAAAAAAAAATAATGTTATCTTATTTATAATTGTATAGTTCGTACTGAACTTGAAATTTTGAAATGTGATTTATTTAATATAGAAATATAATATTATTATTTATAAAAATATTTTAAATAATATAATATAAATAGATAACAGCTTTAACTGCGAATTTATCCTGAATTTGTACCAGAAAAACTATTAAAGATTTCATAATTAGTAAGCACAAATTTATTATACTATTTCAATAGAAACAATACATATAACAGCAAAATTACTACAAAACGCGAAGCATTGGCTAACCAAGCTCAGTTTGTTCAGCCATGTAGCGAGTTTGTATTAGTAATAGGTCTCTTAACTCTTTCTAAATCACATAAATAAAATGACTTGAGGAAGGTTTGTGACACTGGTATTTTATCACTGAGCATACTAGACCACATGTGTTCATGTTGCTTATGTTTTTGCACATGACGCCAGTTCAAGGGCCAATAAAATAAATAACCCTCTTTTCTAGGCAGATTAAGATTAAAATTATCCATTCTTACTTGTTCTTTTAAAAATAAAACAAAGAGAAGATGCTTATACACCTTTTCATTAGTTGCTTGCTTTCAACAATTTTTGGGGTAAGCACAAACAAGTCCTACCACACTTCAGCCTCTCAAATATCTCAACATTCTCTTCTTAACCATTTCACTGGTTGTCTTCTCTTTTTTTCTTTCTCATCCAAATTAATGCACATGCATACTACTGCTACTTCTCGTGAGGAGGTCGATCGAGCAGCGGTTAGAGCATTCGTTCTGCGATGCGGAAGATAGCAACTTTCGCAAAAGTGATGGGTGGGCAAAAATTTATTATCGCAACCTCCTCTGTGCTTCGGAAGATACATTAAGCCGTTAGTCCCGGCTGCACGAAGCCCGCGTGGAGGCCTGATGCTTGGAGCCTATCCTACCGTTCCCTATTTTGATTCAATAGACAGGGAAGGTCTGTTATCCAGCAGTAGGGGCGTTATTAGGCTGAAGATGATGATTGCTATGATCGAATTTCACCTAATGCCTGATCATTTTTTCTCCGCCTTGCCGTTTCGCATTTCGCCTCTTATATTAATCTTATCTCGACATAAACATTTCAGTCATATGCACTGCAAACTATTTTTCATATTCGATTGCATACTTTGTCTACGATGTTATAAGATTTCCTTCTATTCGTTTATTACGCGGAGGTAATATTATAGATATCAGTAGTTAATAATAATGTTAAACATAGTATCAATTGGCGATGCTTAGAATTTCCCGCTGACGTAAGTTATCGAATTACAAAACTTATATATGAGAATCGATTTCTATTCGTCTGTGTCCGAGAATGACCGAGCCGATTTAGCTGATTTTGTTTTTGAAATGTTAGTCGTAGACCAAACTTTAAACGGTGAGAGGTGATAGGATCTACAACGGGCCATCTAGTACAAAGTACAATAAGCAGTAAATTTCTTTTTTTATATTGACTCCACCGAGAACTAAATATCTTACGCCTATGTTCACAAACATCGGCAAATGCCACACTACTATAACGATGTTATTCTTTTATAAAACAGCCACGTTAGAGTTCGTGTGACAACATAGAGGTTTAATGAAATAAAACCTATTTCAAAAGGTAATAAAGCTTTTATTTAATCGAAGCTTTTACTTTGACAGCGCTGCGTAGAATAGCTTATGCGCCTACCACACGTGTATGCTTGACCACAGTTTTACTTGCGCATGCCGGCTTGTACACTGAACACTGTGCGTGTAGTTGGTAAAATGGTAGCATGCGCAAACCCCAAAGCCGGCATGCGCAAGTAAAACTGTGGTCAAGCATGCACGTGTGGTAGGCGCCTTACTTGCTAGCATACATAATCTTCTGTAGTATTACCTGCCAAGTGCGTGTTGGACTCGCGCATGAAGGGTTCGTACCTTAATCTATAAAAAACGAAAAAAAAACGTTTGTTGTTTTCTATGGAGGTGGCTGGCTTAAGCCCCTGCCGTGGGGACATTTATTAGACTGTTGATGATGATGGAGTTGTCCGAAATTTTCTAGTGAAATACAATGGGTCGACTATTACTTATAAACTCGTAAAGCTAACTTAAGTGTTGATAGAACGGGAGGGGAGGACGAAGATACTTACTCCAACGAAAATTGGCAATTCATAATTGATCTATCCAATGATACCCCATACGAATTAAAACTATCTCCATTTTCCAGATTACATTATTTTACCACTTTCTCTTTGGCATGATTAACGTGTATACTCAAGCCAAATTACAACTTAATAGTACCAATAGTATTTCAGTTAAACCGCCGACGGACGGTCAGACATACAGACGGACGCCACGAAGAAAACCTAAAAATAACAGTGAAATTTATAAAAATGCATGTCAGAAATATTATAGGCACAAACAGAGCACACAATCAAATTCCATGACCAATCGTCACAAAGTTCTGTTTGGGCTAACATAAATTTGTTCTATAAGCTGCGCAGGCGTCGGCCTACTTTCACTGATATCCGTTAAGGCACCACAAGTCAAGTAACTGTCATATGAACAAGTGGTGTTTCTAGTTATAGTACCTAATATAAAGTGTTTAATAAACCCGCATAGTTACTATGGTGAAAGATTTTGTAAGTATTTTATATATTTTTTTTAATGTAATATAATAATGGAAAGGGTCAATTTGAACAGTTGTTCTTTTTCTTTAATATCAACTTTTTTACGGTTAGTTTGCAGATGGTATACATTATTATAATGCCAAAGACCATTTAAATAAATAAAGATTTTTGTTAGTAGTTTACAGGTTTTGCTAAAGGACGATTCGTTGGCCAACACTACTTACTTGATGTTGTTGTATCAATTACATACATTTTCGCTTATTTTTGTCGAGCTTATTAATAGGAAAGTATCTTATCAATCATCAAGAAATCTAACGTTGAGGCACATAATGTCCATTTCCCACACGTCTCATTTCGTACAGAATTCAAATACCAGTGTGTTTTATTCATAAAAATATAATCCCACCGTAAATAAGCATAGCCTGATTTTTAATAATTTCCTCTTTTTCTACTAATTTTCATTCGATATAAGAAATTCGAAATATTTGGTAAAGAAGCCTTACAGTCTTTTGCAAGTGGAATAGTGTGATTTATATCGTATACGCCTTTAAATGATTTTAAAAGAGTGATTCAAGAATTGAACTCCCGTTTTTCAACGCCATCTCTTTCTAGAAACTTCAACAGATCTGTGTTAGAAGTATCAGTTAAAATAGCTAAATGAGGAAGGGCAATACAATTTTTTATAAAATACTCTAAAATACTTAATGGCGAAAGAAATTTTGGTAATGCGAGTTGATTACGAGTTCCGAGAGATATTCTCTTTTTTATTTTTAATTATAAAAATCGATCTTTGATTGTGAACCGAGAAGTGAATTGTTTATTTTTTTAAGCATAACTTGTTTTTGTTTAAAAGCAATCATGTTGTTATTCCCAATTACAATTTCAAGTAGCGTGCTTTTACCTGTGGGAATCGGAATTTATTAATAAAATAAGTTAAATTAATATTATTCGAAGCCAAGCGGATCCGAACTAATCTAATTTTCTTGAAATAGAAACTTGATTATATCAAAGAATTATATAGTTTTCATTTAAAAATGGTACCTTAACCAAACTCAATAAATCTGGCTATTTGTGGTTTTGATCTGTACACACCTCAATTATTGATTTTTACTTATACCGGCTATTAAGAGTATTATTAAACTATAAAATTTGGCTATTGATAAAATTTACAGTGTAAGTTTTTTTTTATATAGAACTAACTGTTTTCCCGCCACTTGCATAAATAGCCTGTGTCACTCGCGTATTATGTAGCTTCCCTAAGGTAAGAGTTTTAAAGATTTAAAGTTTTAATAAACAATTAAATCTTTAGGAGTAGCTCGGTGGCGTAGTGGATAAACGCCGCGGTCCGCGATCGTTGTCGTTAAGATGCTTTCGCAAGGGTCGGTCACAGGATGGGTGACCAAAAAATCATTATCTCGAGATACTCCGTGCTTCGGAAGGCACGTTAAGCTGTTAATACCCTCCAATTCGCATTGGGCCAACGTGGAGGGTCATGGCCCATTCTCCTTAACCATCCATAAGGAAGGCCTGAGCCCCTGCAGTGGGGACGGGGTGATGATGAAATCTTTCTTTGTAATATTAGTGTAGGTTAGTTGGACGTTAATGACTGTAATTGTATGGTACAAAGTCAGGGCCAATGTTGCATAACGTACCGTTAATATTCGAGGTTGCGTGCGTGTGACTCAAGTCCATTGAAATATTATCTTGTTATGTCATTTTCTATTCCGGATGTTAAAATAATTTAAGTTGTAAGATTACTTATTTGGCAAACAGGAAATCAGTTCATTGAATTTATGGCGGAATATATCTGATTCACAAAAAACAAATCGAAACGCTTTTCAATATTAAGTAGTAAGTATCGACCTATATTCGTGGATTATGTAGTCTAATAATGTTTTAAGAATGGTGTTTTTTGTATACCGATTTTTGATCTCTCCGACAAGCGAAGAAAGGGCGGTGTATTTTTGGTTAAGAATTCGTCATCTATTTTTGTCATCTCATCCGTTGGTTAGAGTCAAAAGGACTGCATTTTTATTAAAAGAATCATCACGTATTTACAGTTTGTCTGTTAAAAGATGACGTTAGGGTTATTTATTTATAAGTTACTTTGAAAATTGTAATAAACCAATAATAGAATATAAGCTCTATGCACATTATTACATAAGAAAGTAAGCATTTTCATAAACAATGGACAAACTTTAGTTTGTTACTAGAGCAGACGAAAAAACGGATAATGACCTAAAAGTATTATGTGAACGTACAAAGTAAACGATACATATCGCTACCCATAGAACCCTGTATCGTTTCTGCGAAGAACTGCTAATTAAAGTACTGGGAGACTTAGCGGCCCGTACATGAAAATGTAATACTTCGCTGAAACGATACAGTTCTATTGATAGCGTTTAGCGATTCGTATACGCTCACATAATAATTTGAGTCATTGTCCGTTTATCGCTTGGTATACGACGAACCAGAGGGTCTACTCTTATTGTCGGCGAACGAAGTTTTGGAATATTTCGAATCATTCTTATAAAATTGTTACAATCATATCCGTGAAGATTATCTGTGCATCAGAAGTAGAGTCAGGGAACTAATTGTCTAACTTTAAAATCTTTCGGTTTGAAAGATGTTGTATAACCATTGCTTGTTTCTGAAGACAGTTGAAAAAAAGTATTTGTATTATGCAGCAATGGTTGTGCAACACCTTTCAAACTGAAAGCGATTGCAATAGATTTAAAATTAGACAATCAGGGGGCAGGTCCTTCCGTTGCATCGTAAAGAATTGAAAATTGTGTTTGTTTTGAGTATTAGGTATCAGCGTTTCGAAAATAGACCAAATTTCGTTTTGGGATTAACAAGCCTTCAAACTAGACGATACATAAGTAAAAATTCGTTAAAAAAAAAATTCGTAGTTACATCTCCAATTCAACTACATATATATAATCAATGTCTTCTCTAAAATACCAATATTATTTTGATAAATGTGCGAGTCAACGTGAAACTTAAGTGCGATATCCGAAGAAAATACAATAATTGTATTTGCTTAATATTTAGCGAGTGATTTTATTTTAAAATATTTTTGACGTAATATAAGATATTTGTGTCTGTTTGTCTGATCGACTATCTTCTCGGATTTGTTTTCTCCTTACTTTAATGGTGATCAAATATATAATAGAGCCGAAGGACCCTTCGAAATATTTTACACATTTAGATTCTGACGTTGCTCATTTCTGGTGGTTATTATGTTTTCATACAAAGAATTGTATAATATCTTTTTTTCACCTCCGTTGATGTGTTTCATTCTGATAGATATCTTAACAGTAGATGTGTACTTTCTCAATTTTTTTTTTACTGAACTCATATTCATTTTGTCTGGTTATTGGGAAGATTTTGGAAACAAATGGTTTTTAAATGTATCCATTTTATTTCTAGGAGTATGGTGAGCCAACGGAGTCGGAGAAGCCCACCAGCGAGGAATACGCAGTGGCGAAATGGTTGAAAGCGAACGTCCCCACAAAGAAGACCAAGTTCTTGAATCATCACGTCGAATACTTCACAGGTGACATACTTAATATTGTCTAACCTTATATCGGTTTTCTTGACATCGGATTCAATCATAATGCACTCAACTTTGTCATCGGATTCAATCAGTATTTACTTAACTTTCAATATTGAATACCGTTTTTTATTAAATCCGAATTGCCCATCTATTATAAATATTATACATATAATAGTCAAGAATACGGTGTAACGTGGGCAGGACGTACAAGTTTTTTATCCTTTAACTAAAAAAAGCATAAATACCGCGAGGTAATTAACGAATTATGCCAACTATAATAATGTAAGCTAGAGTTGTTTATACAAGATTTATATCTTTATACTAATCAAACTCCATTGTTTACTGTTGTGAAATACACGGTATAATTGATGAATTAAAAACGGAACAAATCTGTAAAAACAACAGATTTTCTGTACAATCAACAACACGTTGCTCTATACAAAACATCTCCAAATGATTTTGAGCTTTGTGCCTATTTAATACATATTTAAATTGATTGCTGAGTTGTGATATTATATGGTAACTTATGTGTATAGGAAACATGCGTTTGACCCACTATTTAATAGGTTATCAATGTAGTTTACATTTTGTGAAACTCCGTGGTAATGTGATTATTATTATTACATTTATTCTACGAAAACTTTATTGCGAGAGTTTATACCATCGTTGTTTGATAAAGTTATTGATTGTATTGGCCATTTAGATATCGATGAAGTTACTCAAAATCCTGTTTGAAATATTAGGTTGGAGATAAAGTCTTTTCGCATAAAATATTTTATTTTTATTTTTATCATTTTTATTTTATATTTTTATTATTATAAAATAAAATAAAATATGCATTAATTTGTAATAAAATCTTTCTAGCTATACCATTTGTTTCTGGCTGGTTTATATTTTAAAGAAGATTCTGCGGACAACTAATGAGATTAAAGCAAGAAGTCGAGAAAGAGGTTTTTCATCAATTCGCCACTCAACAAAAATTGAGAGAGTTTGACTGGGAGGTGTTAATCCATCCGCCGTATAGCCCTGACCTTGCACCTTCAGATTTCCATCTGTTTTGGTCGCTTCAGAATTCTTTATACTTTATGCAGTGCAAAAGAAACACATTACATTCACATCACACTAGGCCTGTTAAAACAACTTGTCGCGGTTTTTTGATGGCAATAAGTTATCGAACAAAATGATACTAATACTCTTTAATTTAATGTAAATAGACTATATTAAAAAATGATTTGAATTTTCATACAAAATGCGAAGAAACTTTTTCCCCAACCTATTATATTATTAAAGGTAATTAAATAAAGGTATGTTCTAGAATCAAATCTTTTTTTAAATCTACGTAAGTGCAGTTCGAAAACAAACAGTTTATTTTTTTTCGTCAATCGTAATTGTAAGTATGATCTACATACACAGCAATACCAAAAAGTTTTGTCATCTTAGAATGATCATGGTAAAACGTTTTTCTTTTTACAGGCACGAAAGCTGTGGACGCTCTCTTGACATCAAAATGGGCAACCGGCAAGAATCCCATTTTCACCACCCGACACGAAGTAACAGACTTTCTTCACCAAATGCTCCTGCACAAATTGTTCCACAGAGCTAAAAAGGTAATAATAATAATGACTTATATACTGTATTTGGGTTCGGTCGTTAAAAATTGTACAGTTACATTCATGACAACGTAACAAACGTTACATACGAGACTCAATGTTACATTCATGATCAGCATAAAGCTTAGTTCAGATTCGTACAATAAAATGATTTATAATTATAAATCTTAATACACTAGTATTTTTTTTACATTTGGTTATAATGCCGCTAATAATGGTGATACTTATTATGTTTTTATAATAAAACAATTAATTCTGTCGAACATCTAAATATATATAACTCAAAGGTGACTGACTGACTGACATAGTGATCTATGAACGCACAGCCTAAACCACTGGACGAATCGGGCTGAAACTTGGCATGCAGGTAGATGTTATCCGCTAAGAAAGGATTTTGATCAATTCTACCCCCTAGGGGATTAAATAGGGGATGAAAGTTTGTATGAAACTTTGTCAATTTAAACCGATCGGGCTGAGATTTTGCATGCATAAATCTACTATGACGTGGGCCTCCCCTAAGAAAGGATTTTGATAAATTCCACCCCTAAGTGGATAAAATAGGGGATGAAAGTTTGTATAAATCGAAGTATTACTCATTTCCACGGAAAAACTCAATAACGCGGACGAAGTCGCGGGCGAAAAGCTAGTTCTTTGATAAACATGATTACTTACCTCTCGAGGCCGGGTGACGTAATTATAATTTAAGTATAAAATGTAATTTCGTGAAAGTAAGTAAACAACTTTTTTAAATAGGTCGAATCAATGAAAACAAAGTAGCATCTTATAATATTATAATTTTAATAATAAAATAAAATTCTAATAAAATATAATCAACCTTATTTTTGAACATTATATGACGCAGGCTAAACATAAGTTAAAAATAAATTAAGGAAGCTTCATCGTCTTCCCTAATAATATACTCTTGTGAGTTTATAAAAGTCAGTTGCACTTTTTTTACTATACAGATTTCAGGTACAACATCATAATCAAGTTTTTTAGTGATGAATTTCAGAATTGGCTTGTTTACTGTTTTCAAAAATTTTATTTTATACATTATCACACTAGTATCCTTCTCAAGATTAATTTTTTCAATGAAACCTATATAATATTTCCACTTATTTTGAAGATAATATCTCACTATTACACTATCATCAATATTATAATATGGCATTTCTTTGGTTTCTATATTTTTGCCAGTTTTTGTAATCATTTTATTATTTTCTTCTACATCTGTGAAAAAGAAACAAGTGTGTTTAACACATAATTATCAGAAATTGGTGCTATCCGTCCACGTTTCAATAATTCTTATTACCTGCTGTAGAAAAATGGGTAAAGTTACAATCCTCATTTTTATTAGTGTTAGTCACAACAGTATTTTCGACCTTTTGTTCTGTAAACATAAATTGGTTTTATCATAATTATAGCATAATACAAACCAGAGAACTAATTGTCTAACTTTAAAATCTATCGCCATCGCTTTCGGTTTGAAAGATGTTGTATAACCATTGCTTGTTTCTGAAGACAATTGAAAAAAAGTATTTGCAGCAATGGTTGTGCAACACCTTTCAAACTGAAAGCGATTGCAATAGATTTAAAATTAGACAATCAGGGGGCAGGTTCATTATAAATTTCATGGTTCCTCAATTGTTAATCAGTGCTGCAGTGCCATCTGCCTGAGATTTAACTAATTCAAATTACCTGCTGAAGAAGTGTCAGTAATCATAGTCATATCAAATTTTTCCTTTTCTACTTTTTCTGGTACAACATTATCTTTATTTTTATCAGTCACATTCTCATTAGCATTTTTGACCTCATCTGTGAATTTGATTTTATTATAATTTTTTCCGTTATAATCATATAGTTTTACCTTTCATTAAACTAATTCTTATTACCTGTCGTAGAGATTCTGGTAAAGTCACAATTATCTTGCTTTTCCCCTATCACAGTGTCAGTGTATTTTTTGTTAACCTTATTATTTTCTTCCCCTGTAAACAAAAAATAGATACAATATAGGTGCCTACTTAATATTATTCATTTCATAATCAATATCCAGATCAATCAATCCCTAATCCACTCTACTAGATTTCTATTCTATACCAAATGTCATCTCATCATCTGCACCAGAGAAGATAGTAAAGCAATACTTTTTCTTTCTTGTTTATTATATGATTTATTGATTATAAAATAAAATTTATATTAGTAATAATTTATTTACCCGTAGTATCAGATAATAGCTCGTCATAAAAATTGTCATCGGAAGAATCGTGCAAGGAGAACTGGTCGTCTTCATCAGTACTACTGTCATTGGAGTATCTTTTTACTATTTTTTTCCCTTGTATTTCGTTCACAGTACTTTGTTTAACGTGCTTAGTCCTTGTGCCTGAAGTCGAGGGCACAGGATTATCGTAATCTATGTTTTCTTTGCCGGAATTTGTCAGGACAAAGTCTTTGCTTATTTTCTTCATTCTTTTCAGTTTAAATGGTCTATAGTTTTGTAAATTGTCATAACCCATATTCTCTACCCTGTATCGAATATCCGATAGGACTGTCACTTTTGTCTTTTTTATCCCTTCATCTCTCTGTCTCGTGTCATCTTCAGTTGTCTTTCTTTTTAAGAAAGATGGACTTCTTTGGCTTTTATTTTCTTTGGTAAATGTCTTTACAAGGCAATGATTCTTCACTTCAAAGCATTCGCAATAGCCTCTTTGCGGAGCGGCACAAAAACAGCTCAGAAACCTGAACCGTATAACGTTAGTTTTATCAGTATTACATATTTGATGTAACATCATGGTCTGTGGAACGGGAACCAGATCTTCCTCTACCGAGTTTTTAGCAATATCATCCTCTCTGATGTAAAAAATCATTATCGCGGTGTCAGAATTTTTAATAAGTGTATAGGCCGTGTGAGCGTCTGGTATGTCGGTGCCATGTTTGACCAAGTCATCCAGTCTGCGTTTAAGTGCTCCTCCTACTCCGTCGGCAGCACCCTTACCATGGCCAGCTTCACTAAAGTTCCAGGTTGAATAGGGGAACCCCATACCTTTAACGTTGTTTGTAAACAAAAAGAAGTTCTTTTTTTGTTTATACTGTGTCACTGGCCCGTCGGAAAAGAAATGCACCGCATTAACCAGCGGATATTGTGTGTTCACGTAGTTTAATATGGGTTTTAAATGACCCCAAATCGCCTCAGGAGTGTGGTCATTGCAGGCAGATACGGAACCAAATGACTGTGGTTTCTTTCCTTTTACGTACAGAACGCCAGTATGCAGTGTCACCTGCGGTTTCGACGCACCGAAGTGCATTGATTGTACTTCGGTTGATAGTTTGCACAAGTAATTTTCACTAAAGTCTATGTGTATAGCTACTTCGTTTGACTTTAAGTTCGTAATACACGACAGATACTGCGCATATTGATGTTTTATGTTGAACACATGTTTTTTCATCATTTTCAGATCTTCATTAAAGGCAGAAGTCAGCGCTTTCAATTTATCTTGAACTTCTTTTTTCACTACCTTCTTAGTAGTTGACATTTTACCATCATTTTTATTGATATATTCATGTTCCTGAGTAGCAAATTCGTCCCAAGTAACAATTTCATTCATATCACAAGTGTCCTCGTTAAATTCTATACAATTATTGCAGCACGTCAAACATTCATTATAGGCACATGCCTTGGAATCTAAGTTACATACCACCATTGATAAGGTGTCATTTAAATTTGTAGTTTCAATCATTCCTAAGGACGTCAACTTCTTAATTTTCATAAGGACGTTTTCGTGCTTTACGCATGAACACGTTTCTCGATCAGAAAGTTTCGGTGGTATCACATAATATGGTCTGTACTTTTTGAAACACGTCAATTTAGCTCTTCCTCCCTCCGCTCTGTACTTTTTATAAAGCTCTTTCAAAGTGTCCAGCAAGTATCGTCTTTGTTTTTTTATTTTACCTTGAGTTTTAAATTCTTTTTTCCCCGCTGTAGCTCGAGATACATCGTCTCTATTATAAAACTTAATAATTTCGTCTACAATGCTATTGTTTTTCTTAATCATTTTCCTTTGACGAGCACTTCCTTTTAATCCCAGCACAGATCTCGTTATTACACTCTTCCTGACATATTTGGTCATACATTTATTTTTAACGATTCTTTTAAGAATATTTCGTTCACTATTTTTTTCGGTGTTCTCATATGTGTCTTGAATAGCATTCACTAAAACATTATATGTTAAAAGGTGCTTTTTTACTTTTTCTTTATCTTCTTCCGCAATGTGAGGTAGGTTTTGTTCTACGAAACTGTTAGACTTGGACAAAGGAGTCATTTCGTTTTCATTTTGAATGATGTTGAGATGTTGTAAATTTGTTTTGTCTTCTTCTTGAGCAGCAATCTGTGTTTCACGTGGTTCAGTCGCTTTCGATTTTAATTCATCTACAAAACTAATCATATCTCTATTCTTCTGCATGTAACGCTTACACTTCCTTTTTAAACTTTGCATTTCTTTCTTCATCTTTTTTATCTTTTCATCGTATAGTTTCCTTTGACTAACCAACCTTCTTTGTAATTTTCTAACCAAGGACATATTCCCGCAGTCTGTGTTAAGGGTAGCATAGTCATGATGTCGGGACGTAACAGTATCATCAGTTTTTTCTTTCTTCATTCTACAGCGTTGCTGAGTAGCTCTCCACTGTTTTCTTTTCAAATCTTGAAGTATTTCAGAACACTCATTAATTTTCTTCCGTTTTTTATTTCGCTCTGCATTTTTTGTTTTAATCTCCTCGTACTTTGCAGGATTTTGAGTTCGCAACTTTTCACGATATTTCTTTTGCCTTTCGGCATTGGTCAGTGGCGCCATCTGAAATATAAAATCAAGAAAATTAAATTAAGTCGAAATTGAATTTCTTAAGTGTATTCTCCGCCTTACAATCGGTCATGACCGTAACGTTACACATTTCGTTACATTTATTACAATCATGACAGAAAAAAGCGCACGACATAACTTCAAATCAAAATATCACTGCACTGCAAATAAATACATACAGTGAAGTAGTTTTATTGCTTTATGTGATAGCAAAGATTTAATAACTTTTATCAATAAATTAGGAAGAATGCCCAATACTTACCTTGCAATTCAACACAATAAAATTAATTTCAGGCGACAATTCTCACGTTGACACACTTTTTTGATTTTCACTCCAAACAAACATGGACGTTTTTGTTTTCTGAATGTTGGCATCTTAATTAACGGTGTTGCCAGTAAATAAAAGGCAAAAGCAACCAAATTATTATGTAGTGTGGCAAAAATATGCGTTATAATACCGTTATACTCATGACGTTACATACGCAAAAAAAAATGGACGCATTTTCAAAGTTAAATAAAATTATTATGGTTATTGATAAACTGATGATAACCTTTTAAACGCGTTAAATAAAGTATTCAGAACTTCAACTCAACTTACAAACGCAATAACGGTCAAAATTTTTGTTAAAATTACCTGTTTTCGATCATTATGTAGTAGTTGGACAAACTGTCTTTGTATAGAGTAAAAGTAGTACTAATCGAAAAAAATCTAAAATAAAAAAAAAATTGCAGTGATAGCCAAGATTTCATGGTTTTATCTAAACTACGGAGAGTTTCTCTTTAGATCAATTTGAAACTTATATTCGTGATTAAAACAGCACTGATTTTATGACAGAAATAATATCAGGTCAACAAAAAAAAAACTATATATACAATTTTTTGCGACCGAACCCATTTGGTAAATTATCTGTCATACCTAATAGTTGTACCGATTTATCAGATCCCCATGGTTCCGTTGGCGAGAGAGGGTGATGATTAGGTTTATAATGGCACATTTTTGATGTAAAAAGGCATATTAATATCAAAGTAAAAAGGCCAGTCCAAGGATCTGACTGAGGCTCTTTCAGGGTTTGAAACATATCGTACTGTTTTAAATACTTTGAAAAAGATAACTCATTTGCGCCAACTTCTTCGTCGCTAGCCCCATAGCAGAAGGGTTTTGATCTGTCTGCGACAGATTATAAAAACCTGAAAATAAAATTCTGTTTCTGCTAGTGTAATTTTTTTATTTATCTAAGACTGCCGAACTGTCTGCAGACCTACTCGGCTGTCTGCGACAACGAACTGTCTGCAGACCTACTCGGCTGTCTGCGACAACGAACTGTCTGCAGACCTACTCGGCTGTCTGCGACAATGTCGCAGTGTCGCTCGTTGTTCTGCCTTGGGGGTCGCTAGAATCACTTATTTTAGCTTTTATACGTGTTTTCAAGGTTTTTTATTTGTGTTTAACCTAAGGTTTAATAATAAGACGTGAGAAGAAAATAACGCAAAGCAAATAAAAAAAAGTAGTCCAAGAAAATCCCGAGATCCGTAGTTTCAAAACTTTTTTTAAAATAAAAGCAACATAGCTTGTACACCGAAAAAACACTATTTTCTATATCAAATCACAATTATTCATTAAAGGTGCCAGTTAGTGAGCAAGAATTAAAAGGCAAATCTAAAAAGAAAGAAATCGAAAAGACCAGCAAAAGCGGTGACGAGAAAGATGGTGAGAAGAGTCAGGCCAGCGCTTGCGAGGGCAAGGTATGTTTTTTACCCAATAAATAACATTAATGTCCTAAATCTCCAAAACTTGTCGAGCTGGCAAGGAATACACTCATCGAGATGATAATTTGTTATAATTATTATATATAATCAGTTTTGTATTCAGGTTTTAATAAGCATTTTAATTAAGAATTGTAAAAATTTTGCCAATTTTTTTATGATCCTACAGAGAGTACCTGTTACTCTGGTGCCTAGATAATTTGCTGTTAAAAAGTAATACTAAAATTCTTAGAATCTTTTTAATTATTCGACACAATATTTCCGGACAGAATATGTATATACTCCTTGTATTATTGATGATGTGTCGTCGTTGCCAGGATTCCAAAGACGGCAAAGAGAAGGAGAAGAAGAAACGCAAGATAAGGCTGGAGATGCACCTGGAGCAGGTGTTCCTGGACACTGCGGACGCGTACGTGTGGATATACGACCCGATGCCCTGGTACTACTGGCCCTGTGGAGCTCTGGTTGTGTTCGGAACTATCGGCGTTTGTATGTTCCCGTTATGGCCCGCTACCGTCAGGTAACTAATATCACGACTTTTATTTATATGTTAAGACATATACCTTAACTATGACTAAGTTATATTACATTTATAGAGTAAGATCCCAGAGCGATCTGACATAACTTATTTTTAAAAGCATTGAACGTTCGGTTCTAAGTAGTCTCTACATGTACTTTTAATACCTGCGTACTTGTAGAGTTCGCTTGGTGACGACAATAAGGAAAACATAAAAAAAAACAGTCGTTTGCAGGTTATGCGCGTACATATATTTTGGTGATTCATTTTCATATATATATACTCCATTCATTATAGCATTAGACAGAAGTCAAATAAGGTTCTTTTTATGGTATACTTTGTGACAAAATATCAACAATCATGTTACTCTTAAGACTGACGGCTAATTTGCTACATATCCACTTAAATACCAGCTGCTATACTTAAATGTTGTCATTTAAGCTATCTATTAAACAAATTTATGAGTATATGACTAACTTAAATGATTTAATAACTATTACAATAAAAAGTGTTCATCATAAAGAACCTAAAGAAGCAGGGTTGAATAGTTTCGGCACGATTTTCATGTTACTATAACTCTACCAAATTTAAAACGTTGCCTAACTCCTTCAAACGTTTCAGCAGTACAGCTTTTTAATTTTGTCAGACTATTATTAATAATAATCATTTATTCTCTCAACACAAAATTATGTACTTACATCTGAGTCTTAATATTCTTAAAATTATTTATTTATTATTTTTCATAATTGTTAAAATCGTAATCTGGGATTGTCATCCATTAAAAAGTGCAAGTGCTACTGCCTTTCTTGTTGTTTTGTTATTGTTTTATTTTTGTTTTGTTTTTGTTGTTAAATTTTGTAAAATATGGATGATGCCGGTGCAGGCCCGAGTGGCCTACAAAAATTACGCGCTAAGCCCCTACCCTCAACCTTTGACCAACTAAGTACAATTAGAATTTGTCAAAAACAGACAGATAGTTTCAGTTTTAGTTCCAAGTTGGCTTGGGAGTAAAAGATGAATTTATAAAATGCTGGCCTCATCTCAACCCCCAGGTATCGTAAAAAATGGAAAATTGCCCAGCTCTTTCAGACTACCTAACATTCAAAGTTTCAACAAAACATAAAATATTTTTTAAATTTATCTTGAAAATAAAATGTTCTGCACTGCTGCTTCTATGACCCTCTTTTTTCTAATGTTATAATGAATGGAGTATAGATATATTAAATTTCCCCGAAATATTAATTTAATAAAGAATAATGGGGAAGTATCTAAAAAACAGAAACCACTAAAAAGCACCTCCACTAGACGGCGATTCTAGCAAAAGTTGATTTTTGCAAGTAACAAATGCTCCAAAGATAGTCATTTGCTTTCCGTTTAAGTAACATATTAAAAACTGAAATTTTGGCTAAGTTCGAAACTTAGATATCATATTAAAATAAGAAAAAGTGCAAATAGAGTACGAGTTGTTAATTGAGTTTTAAAAACTAATTTACTTTTATACACAAATGAAAACCGGAATGGTCGTCACCTTAGCTACATCTTGTTTGATTTCGGGAACTTATGTATTTTTTTTAATACTACCTCATTTAATTTTAATTTTGAGAATGACAATGTCACTTATTAAAAAGTACCTATTTTTAACTTTTGGCAACATTTTTCTTTGTTAAGTATAAACTTTAAAGTGCAAAGATCGTTGTAAACGTAGCTTGCATAGAAACTGTTAGGTGGCGTAGTGACGATACGTTGTTTAGAGGGGCTGCTTACAATTTCTTGAACTTTAAACGTATTTTTTGCATTGTGTCACTATCGTTCTCAGCGTACGATTTATGCAAACATCCTATTGGGCATGATTGTATCGATGGACCGTCGCTTGATGTATTATGTGTGGGAGTGCAGATTGGGCGTGTACTACTTGAGTCGCTTGATATACTGTGCGTGTGTGAGTGCAGATTGGGCGTATACTACTTGAGCATCACGGCCGTTGATATACTGTGCGTGTGTGTGAGTACATATCGGGCGTGTACTACTTGAGAAGCGCGGCCGTTGATATACTGTGCGTGTGTGGGAGTACAGATTGGGCGTGTACTACTTGAGTATCGCGGCCGTTGATATACTGTGTGTGTGCGAGTACATATCGGGCGTATACTACTTGAGTAGCGCGGCCGTTGATATACTGTGCGTGTGTGGGAATACATATTGGGCGTATACTACTTGAGTAGCGCGGCCGTTGATATACTGTGCGTGTGTGAGTGCAGATTGGGCGTATACTACTTGAGCATCACGGCCGTTGATATACTGTGTGTGTGCGAGTACATATCGGGCGTATACTACTTGAGTAGCGCGGCCGTTGATATACTGTGCGTGTGTGGGAATACATATTGGGCGTATACTACTTGAGTAGCGCGGCCGTTGATATACTGTGCGTGTGTGAGTGCAGATTGGGCGTATACTACTTGAGCATCACGGCCGTTGATATACTGTGCGTGTGTGTGAGTACATATCGGGCGTGTACTACTTGAGAAGCGCGGCCGTTGATATACTGTGCGTGTGTGGGAGTACAGATTGGGCGTGTACTACTTGAGTATCGCGGCCGTTGATATACTGTGTGTGTGCGAGTACATATCGGGCGTATACTACTTGAGTAGCGCGGCCGTTGATATACTGTGCGTGTGTGGGAATACATATTGGGCGTATACTACTTGAGTAGCGCGGCCGTTGATATACTGTGCGTGTGTGAGTGCAGATTGGGCGTATACTACTTGAGCATCACGGCCGTTGATATACTGTGCGTGTGTGTGAGTACATATCGGGCGTGTACTACTTGAGAAGCGCGGCCGTTGATATACTGTGCGTGTGTGGGAGTACAGATTGGGCGTGTACTACTTGAGTATCGCGGCCGTTGATATACTGTGTGTGTGCGAGTACATATCGGGCGTATACTACTTGAGTAGCGCGGCCGTTGATATACTGTGCGTGTGTGGGAATACATATTGGGCGTATACTACTTGAGTAGCGCGGCCGTTGATATACTGTGCGTGTGTGAGTGCAGATTGGGCGTATACTACTTGAGCATCACGGCCGTTGATATACTGTGTGTGTGGGAGTACAGATTGGGCGTATACTACTTGAGTAGCGCGGCCGTTGATATACTGTGCGTGTGTGGGAGTACATATTGGGCGTGTACTACTTGAGTCGCTTGATATACTGTGCGTGTGTGAGTGCAGATTGGGCGTGTACTACTTGAGTGTCGCGGCCGTTAATATACTGTGTCTGTGCGAGTACAGATTAGGCGTGTACTAATTGAATATCGCGGCCATTAATATACTGTGTGTGTGTTAGTACAGATTGGGCGTGTACTACTTGAATATCGCGGCCATTGATATACCGTGCATGTGTGGGAGTACATATTGGGCGTGTACTACTTGAGTAGCGCGGCCGTTGATACACTGTGCGTGTGTGGGAGTGCAGATTGGGCGTGTACTACTTGAGTAGCGCGGCCGTTGATATACTGTGCGTGTGTGAGTGCAGATTGGGCGTGTAGGTACTAATTGAATATCGCGGCCATTGATATACTGTCGTGTGTGTGAGTACAGATTGGGCGTGTACTAATTGAATATCGCGGCCATTAATATACTGTGTGTGTGTTAGTACAGATTGGGCGTGTACTACTTGAATATCGCGGCCATTGATATACCGTGCATGTGTGGGAGTACATATTGGGCGTGTACTACTTGAGTCGCTTGATACACAGTGCGTGTGTGAGTGCAGATTGGGCGTGTACTACTTGAGTCGCTTGATATACTGTACGTGTGTGAGTGCAGATTGGGCGTGTAGGTACTAATTGAATATCGCGGCCATTGATATACTGTGTGTGTGTGTGAGTACAGATTGGGCGTGTACTACTTGAGTGTCGCGGCCGTTGATATACCGTGCATCTGTGCGAGTACAGATTGGGCGTGTACTACTTGAATATCGCGGCCGTTGATATACTGTGCGTGTGTGTGTACAGATTGGGCGTGTACTACTTGAGCATCGCGGCGGCCGCGTTCCTGGTGCTGATCATAGTGCTGGCGGTGGTGCGCGTGGTGGTGTTCTGCGCGGTGTGGGCCGCCACGCTGGCGCGCCACCACCTGTGGCTGCTGCCCAACCTCACGGAGGACGTCGGCTTCTTCGCCTCCTTCTGGCCGCTCTACAAGGTCAGTGGCCGTCCGCCGTGTATCGTTTGGTCGCTAATCTGTTTCGTCAGCAGCAGCTCGTTTACGGCCTCTTTGCAGGGGCTCAGGCCTTCAAATGGATGGTTAAGGAGGATGGGGCATGTGGACATGATTGGTGGGTATTGACGACTGCAAATGCAGCTGGGAACCAAAGGCTTCAAGTGACTTTCCTTAGTACGGAGTAGGTCAAGGTAATATATATTTTTTTATCATAATTGTGGATGAAATCGAATTGAGAGAATGTGCCCTAGACCTACAACATGGGCCCAGTGTGGTTTAGTTTGAGATCGATAGTTAAACGTGCCTTCCAAAGCACGGAGAAGTTTTTTTGGTCACCCACCCCATTACCGGCCCTTGGAAAAGTTACTTAACAATTGTATCGCAGACCGAACGCGCTAACCGCTGCGCTATCAAGCTTCCTCAGTCGCTAATATCCAATTTGACGGGACCTCGGCGTTTGCTTAATTTCTATTGAAACTAAATTATTTATATGAAAGATACGAACTCTCAAAGCACTGGTTACTAAGTTGTTACCATCAGATATATAATACGTCAACCCTTTTGTTCACAGTACGAATACCGTGGGCCCGGTTCGGAAAGCGACAAAGCCTCAAAGAACAAGAAGAAACGCAAGAAAGACAAACAGTCCGACGACGAGACGGAAAAGACGCCTTTATTACCCGATACTGAACCGCCTGAACACGAAACTGAACCTGTCGATAATAAGTAAGTATTATATAAATCTATGTACATAAGAATAATATTTATATTAACAGAAAAAACATGCTGGCTTACCGAGTAACATTGATTTCCTTGACATTAGATTGAATCAAAGTCATTATAGTTTTGGATTAGCCGAATAGATGATGACTATTTATCAGATGTTACTTTATCTTGTATATATCATGCTATTTACAACTTCAGATTGTTTATTAATACAGTGTTGTAGATTAAACTATATAAGGGCAACGAATAGAATACTAACTATTAAAAAAATGAGAACCGACTTCAATCTTGTCGGTTCTCATTTGAAAAGTGAGAAATAACACATAAAAGTGATTCAATTATTTGAAAATTCTATTTAAATCGGGTGGTGGTTTTCTATAGGTTATTAAATAATAACTTTAAGTAAACTGCTTTTAAGATAAGAATGATTTCTCACTTTCTTGGTTTGATCAAACATGTCGGATTGAGAACCTTTTTTTAAGTTGGTTAAATGTTATACAATACTAGCTGACCCGGCGAATTTCGTACCGCCATATTTTCTTTCTGCAGTCGCAACTGAGGATTTCTTTTTTGTAAATTTTCTTCAATACTTACTTCAACACCTTAACCTGACGGTAAGGTCACATAAAAAAAGTCGTTCGGAATTTATGCGCGTCCACACATTTCGCCGATACTATTTCAAAAATACGAATGAGCATAACCCAACTTTTGTTCTTAGAACAACCAATTTTAATCAATATATCGCGTAACATCCAGACTCCAATATCTTCTGGTAGACTGTCAGAGAATGCCTATGGTATTAAGTCTGTTTTTTGTGTTTAAAATGCAATAAAGAATAAATAAATATCTAACGAACCCAACACAAAAAGGTGTCTACGGAATTAAAATTCAGAGCACCTATATTAGATGAATGTATTGGAAACATCTAATACCATCTAGTAGCTCGGTGGCATAGTGGATAAGCACCGCGGCCCGCGATCGTAGTCGTTAAGCAACTTTCGCAAAGGTCGGTCACGGGATGGGTGACCAAAAAATTATTATCTCGAGCTACTCCGTGCTTCGGAAGGCACGTTAAGCCGTTGGTCCCGGCTGCATTTGCAGTCGTTAATACCCTCCAATCCGCTTTGGGCCAGCGTGGAGGGTCATGGCCCATCCTCCTTAACCTTCCATAAGGAAGGCCTGAGCCCCTGCAGTGGGGAAGTAAAAGGGCTGGTGATGATGATGATGATGATGAATACCATCTTCGTCTGAACTATTATAGAGAATCGAGCGCGATGTCGCTCGGGCTTATATAGAGTTTAGGGACGGTGCGGAGTCGGTAATAACATGTAAAAAATTTATTTTACGATAACTCATCAGATATTAGCAATTTCCATATACAGCCAGTTACCCTAGCGACATTACCCATAAAAATTCGACATTCATTAAAGCTTAAAGGCGTCATTAAACCTTAATGGACGTTTGTCCAACTGTCTAATAGTGTAAAAGGCAATTTTGATCTACATTAAATGCATAAAACTATATATAGTAATACTGTACTGTGCTGTACCTATCATTTTATTGTAATATTTAAAAGCAAAGTGGTTATTGTGGGTTATCCTTGGAACATCGCGGACTTTTTTGTAGATCTATAAAAGAGGTACAATCTCACCATACATTGTTTTGTTATAACTCAAAAGGTTTTGGCAGCGTTTTTTAGGAAAGCTCCCGATCGGCTTAATTTTTCCGACATGCTTTACTAATACCCTCGTTTGTACAAAATCTAAACTTATAATACACTATACTCCATTCATTATAGCATTAGACAAAATGAAAATAAGGTTCTTTTTATGGTATACTTTTTGACAAAATGTCAACAATCATTGTTACTTTTAAGACTAACGGCTAATTTGCTACATATCCACTTAAATACCAGCTGCTATACTTAACCGTAGTCTTTTAAGCTATATATTAAACAAATTTATGAGTATATGACTGACTTAAACCATTTAATAATTATTACAATAACAAGTGTTCATCTTAAAGAACCTAAAGAAGCAGGGTTAGATAGTTTCGGCATGATTCTCATGTCACTATAACTCTACCAAATTTAAAACGTTGCCTAATCCCTTCAAACGTTTCGGCAGTACAGCTTTTTAATTTTGTCAGATTATGATTTATTCATAATAGTAAAAATATGTAATCTGGGATTGTCATTCATTGTGAATGCTACTGCCTTTCTTGTTGTTTTGTCATTTTCGGTGATTGAGTAATTACTGTTTTATTTTTGTTTTCTTATAGTTTTGTTTTAGTTGTTATCTTTATGTTGTTAAGTTTTGTGCAGGCTCGAGTGGCCTACATAAATTACACTCTAAGCCCCCATGCCTACCCTCAACCATTGACATTTCAGGAAGTTTTTCCAATGTCTTCATCAAAAGTCTAACTAATTACACTTACAATTAGAATTTATCAAAACAACAGAAAGATAGTTTCAGTTTTAGTTCCATTTTGGCTTGGGAGTAAAAGATGAATCTATAAAATGCTGGCCTCATCTCAACTCTGAGGTATCGTAAAAAATGGAAAATTGCCCAGCTCTTTCAGACTGCCTAATGTTCAAAGTTTTTAACAAAACTAATATATAGTTTTTTAAATATATTTAAAATAAAATGTTCTGAACTGCTGCTTCTATGACCCTCTTTTTTCTAATGTTATAATGAATGGAGTATAAAACCTTAGTCAACTCACTCTCCCTGTTATTGAAAACTGTATGTAAATTAGTCCAGTACTTTTAGAGTTTTTGACGAACAGACTTATAGACAGACGCGGTGGGGTACTTTTTTTATAATATGTAGTGATTGGGTTTCGATTAAACAAAGTCTGAATTGTTACAGGGAGGACATACCAATCGTACAGAGCACAGACAAACTCTCTGAGTCAGAGTCTGAGAACAGTCAGCGTTCGTCGACAGATCGAGATTTCGAAATCGTCGAGGCGGACGATGTAGAACCAGACCCCAAAGACGTCACCACTTAGGCCCCGCAATAATTCAACGCTGATATCGAGTATACTTTGGATCGTTTGCACAAAGCCTGTAACGTGTAACAGTATTTAAATTACAAGTGAGATTTTGTAGGGAAAATTGTTGTAAGTCTTGACGTTTTCTTTGAGTGGCGTGTGTGTTGAACGTTGCCGTAGACAATAAATATATAAATTATATGTTTTTTTTTTATTTATTTTCCTACTCGAATGTAGTTTTAGTTTTACGGATATTTTTAGGAAATTGTTGAAATCAATTGTTGTCATCGATTAGATTATATATGTAATGTACAAAGTCGTAACGTTAAATTGCATTTATAAATAATCCTCAAGGTATTTATTTCAACTGAACATTTTATTATAGTTAAAGGTTTCAATTTATTTTACTCGACTAAAGTATACTTGATCTCAGCACAAATTATGGGCGCTAGTTTGAATATAAAATACATTAAAGATAGATTCGGAATTTAAATAAAAATAATTTGGTGTTGCAAGTTGAAAAATTCGTATGATAGAAATAGATTAAATATGGTTAGTGATCACGTTATGCGCATGGCTATTTTTAATCGATTTTTAGTGTTGATTAGTTCCGAAGTTCCTACTGATAGAATCAATTCCTTGAACCCTTTTTATGTATAATGCTTTGTATCATATATGGTACGAAACCTTGAGAAAATAAATATTATTATTTGGTTCCAACGCTACTCTATGGCCGTTGTTCAAACTATGGTTTGTTATTAAAAAGAACTTGCTATGATTTCAATTAAAGTATTGTATTTATCACCATTGATGAAGAAGTATTTTTAAATTTTTATTTTTTCTCTAATACTTGACCCGCCTTTAGTGTTAGATTTGACTAATTTGTAGATTCGACGTTATTGCCATATTAATAAATTCGTATGAAACTTAGAAAGTAAATTCTAAAATTGAATACATACTATACTACATATTGTATATATTTATATGATGTTTAAATCGAAAATTATTAAATAATTACATGGTCTAAAAATACTATTAACTACAGACGACTTGTTTTAGATGCGATTTTGTTTTATATTGAGCGGGAATCTTTTTTGGTCCTATTATTGAACGTTGATTCAATCTGCTATTCGAAAAACGATCTTGCTGAATTAGTTTTGAAATAGATTTTGATTTATTGGACTGTTTCTATTTTGGTCCAATCCAGTATTTAGTAGGGACAGTAAGTATTTTATTGGTTCCTTTCAAAGTATATTTTAGACAAATGTGCTGTATATACATTATGCAAAGGTTAATTGTTTATGATTTTGTGATGTTTTGGTGCTATGCGAGCCTATGGACCTTACCAGCTAGGACTCTGTCGCATCCAGAAGCGGATAAGCAAATTGAATTATGTCTATTATCATTAAAAGGTCATATTTGCAGGTTTAATTGATTCGTTTGAATTTTTCACATTTTTGATTTGAAATATATTACTTTTTTTATTCGTATAAATTCGGCTTGTGCTGTTTTTGTTATTATTTACTTATTTCGTGATGAAAAATAATTGGAATGGACTTGAAATGAAATAAAATAAATAAGCGGAAATAGCCTTAATAATAATTAGATTTATATTCATCTGTAGACAGTAGGATTCTATTTACTTTGTAAAAAGTAAGTTTATCTACTTAAGGCAGAGCTGACATAAATAATGACAACATAATATTTATTTATAATAATGTTTGCATTTTGACAACCTTTATTTTGTATTATTATTTTTTTTTTATTATTAATAGTAGAGTTTCAAATTGTGTAAGTTATTTTATTAATATAATATTTCTATATAAAGACAATGTTTCCAACTTAGATTTATTTGTAAATCTGTCTTTATTTTTTTTTTATAGCATTTGAAAATTAACCAAAGAGATTATGGAATTCTATGATTTTCTCAATATCTGCAGATTCGCTGTGATATATATTTCTATTGGAGTTCAATTGAATATATATTTATTTGGAGGCATGATCAGTTTTTTCGCAAGCACATACTGTGTTTTGTAAATATGTATCCATTCGAAGATCTAATTGGTGTTACCGAAGCCGCATGTATATGTTAATGCATTGGTGATTCAATAAAAAATGATACTCTTTTATTGGTAGTTTTATTTATTTAAGTTAACAAATTTAGCTTAACAACTGACAATATAAATAGTATACTAAATTAGAATAATATTGTTCGTTAGAAAAGATGAAAGATTAAATAAATACAATGACAATATAAAAATCTCTAATAAGAAAGATTTCACTAATTATTTAGTATTTTAGTTAAGGTCAATACAAAATGGCATATATCCACACTTCATTTTCTTTTTAATTTCAACGCAATAAGGTTTATAATTAAATAGGATTTGTCAGTTAGATTAATGTGATGTGCCATTTATTGTACATGTCCGTTGGCAGGCAAGTGACTGCAATTTCTTATAGAAGTCAGTAACGAATCCATAGAGTGCAATTTTTCTATCGGACATACGTGCGGGTCTAGTAGAATGGTGTCGGTTACCAAAACTTGCAAAGTGTATTTGCGTGAGAGTTACATTAGATGTCGCTTGCACGAGTCAACTCCTGTATCTAGTGGACACTAGCTTAAGAAATCTCAATGTCATCAATATTTTTTTTTGCCATTTTTTTCGCATAAATGTTATGCTGGTATTGAATACTTTATGTATTCAGTTGGTACACACAGCAGCAACCCAGGTTACGTAAATACACACAGCAGCAAATATGTCAAATTTCCATAGTCGATCAAATCAAAATCAAATAGAGTTGGACAATTTTTGTAACTGTATTTTACATGCCTATAAATTCAAAGAAAATGAATTATTCTGAATTTCTGAGCAAACGAAAGACGTTAAGTTGTTATTTTAGCTGAGAGTAAATATGTAGGATATTTTATAAGTTGCCACGTTTTGCTTGCTCCAATTCTATGGATTCGAACAGAGTTTTGAAGTTACCAGCACCGAAGCCCTGTAAAAGAAAAATAACTCCATGAAACAAACAAGTTGTAGGTATTGTAATAGAGTTCGTGTCACGAAAGAGGTCCTTCGGCTCACAATGTTTTCGCTTATTACAAAGGAATAAGAGTTATGCTGCGGAACTTCTTTCGTGGGACAGACTATTACAACTTTCAAAGTAAAGATTATTTTTGTTTTTTTTTTTATCTAATGTAGGTATTTCTTCTAGAAATTTAACGAAGTTTGTTAAGAAAAGTAGTCATTGAATTTTAAAAATTATTGTGTACACTCTTTAATGATTTTTATATTTCTCTTTTAATTTAGTTCTCTTTAGAAAAGAAATGTGGCGCTGTATGAATGTTAATTGTAGGTAATTTAACATTGTAAACGGTACAAATTGTTTGTACTCCTTATTTTTCATACTTATATTCCTGGTACTCATTTTAATACCAAAGCCAACAGTCCAACATGATACCAACACACCCAACAATAATCAATTAAAACAAAACACTATCCAAAATCTTTTAAAATTCACGAAATCAAGTAGTCTCTTCAAATAGAGGTTTGGACATGCAACTGATACGTTAAACATTCCTTTAATACCGGAACTATTTAGCTTTTAATGTAATAAACACTGGACAATGCCTTTTTACTCAAACTAAAAATAAACAATTATTATAAATTGCTTAAACCAAATTGCTAAAGCCCTTTTATTATGGGAATCTTACAACGAATGTAACAACACCCTAATCCGATGCAATACCTACAGAAAAGGTGATTTTCTATAATAATCCGACATAATTGAATTCGAAATCTCGTAGATAGCGACATTCAGCCAAGGAGGTCTTATTAGTAAGACAAGAAGTGCATTAGTTGACGGCTATAAGCTATAATGAATGTTCTAAATTTGATTTGTATCGGTAATGTTTTTTCAAACTAATAAGGACGTTTGTGTAATTAGGCGTAATATCCTGTTTGTTTAATGAATAAAAAAAGTGATTTTAGCTCTAATTAATGTTCAAAATTGGAAATATTTAACCGATTATGTCGTTTTTTACTAATGAAAACTTAAAGGATGTTTGTATGTAAAGCTGAGTATGTCTCCTTTAAACTAATTACAATTGTAATGGAAGTTTGTGCAACTGGGTATGAATCTTACGTTATGGTTCCTCCTCTGTATAACTTCTAAGAACAGAGTGGGCCTATCTTGAGTGTTCTTCGTGAATATCTGGAGGAGGTAGCCGTTGTCGTCATAATCTATAAGTATGTGTAGACGTTCTAATTCATCTATGCTTTCAGCTACTCGTACTTTGCTGTGTTGGAGCTTCTCTCTTATTATTTTGTAGTACACAGAAGGTATTGTCAGGAACTCCACTCCGCGTTCTCTCAAATTTTTAATCTGTAATTATAAAAGAGTTTGTATATATTTCTGAATAGTGGTTTAGATGACTATAACGGCCATTTCATGGAATGGACGACCATTCCATGAAATTATGTACTTTTGAAGTGGGTTTTAGACTTAGGCGGGTAGATTTATATAAATCAAATCTCAAAAAATCAAAAATGTTTATTCATTCTAATTTTAAAGGTCCATATGGAAATGTCAGGAGGACCATAAATCAGTATATATGCAATGAGTCGTGTTCATGTGCATCTAGAGAGATTATAATACCAAATTGTTTGTGAAAATTCTGGGATGGGCACCCTAATTAGGAAAACAAAATTGAAAGTATAAGTGTGCCGTATATTCCCTTCTATATTTTAATTAAAACTATTTATCTCCATCTTACCATGTTGCCTATTCAAAATGACTGAAGTATTCTAGGTTATATCGATTGGGGAATACACGACCAGGGGCTCTATTTTTGAATCATTCGTCTCGTGTCGAGCGCTCGTTTTCTACTGATTTTCGTTCGACTTAACAAATTCGCCATTTCTAAATCGCTCGACTGCAACGAGTGGTATGAACCACTCGTCGCTTAGCGAACGTTGTATGCGAGTGATAGAAGAAAACGAGCGCTCGACGCGAGACGAATGATTCAAAAATAGAGCCCCAGCTTGCTTACTCTCGAAGGCAATCGCGTTTGATCGACATTGCAATTGTGCCGTTTCGTACTCTCGATTAGTTACACGAACATATTCTGGCACTAGTGTCCGATCAAGAGCACAAAACGGCAAATGACTTCCACTTCACACAGAAATGTTGCTATAAGTCTAGCAACATTTACTTACAGTAGTGATAATGTCTTCAGTGTTGATAGCTATGTGTTGCACTCCTGGCCCACCGTGGTACTCCACGTACTCTTGAATCTGACTTTTCTTCTTGCCTTCGGCGGGTTCGTTGATGGGTAATTTAACATTCTCTTCCCAATTAGCCATCACCAAAGACCGTAGTGAAGAGTATTCAGTAAATATTTGTGAGTCGTCCACTGACCAGAATCTAGGTAAAAGATAGAAGTAGGTACATTAGGGAGCAGATTATAAAAAAAAGTAATTCAAACAAATCTAATCTCGATCTCTGCGATGCGAATGTTATGCAACTTTCGTAAGAGCCGGTAATAGGATAAGTGTCCAAAAAATTATTTGTTATTGTCAAGCTCCTCCGTGTTTCAGAAGGCACGTCAAGCCGTTAGTCTCCATCTCCAATCGTTAACGCCTACCAATCTGTACTGGCCCGCGTGGCGGAAGGGTCACGGGAAGCCAGTCATGTCCCTGCTAGGGGTGTGGAGCCGTTAATGGACTTGTAATTAAAATGCTGGTATATTATAATGAAGAGGTTTATTATTGTCAACAACAAACTGAGACGCGTGCGTCTTGTGAAGTATACAGTGAAAGAGAGAGCGCGCGGATACATTGCTCAGCTATTTATACCTTATGTAATAACTAGTGTTGGGAACATCCCGACATGCTGCGGGCACACAAAGAATGTCATACTTATGTCTAATTACATTTTTTTTTTCTTAAATAAAACATCTAATTATACAATAGACAATCAAATAATTATGCATTAAACATTTTTAATTTATTAATAAACATACTTACTTTATATATGTTATACATTAGATAATTAATTAATTTTCATCAAAAAGAAATAATAAATCAAATATTATTATATTTATAAACATGGTAATTGTACTCAAACTTAAAACTTGTGTTTTATTATAACAACCAAATTTATTATGAATCTTCAATGGGTAAAATGCTTATTTTTAAAATGGAACGGATATGTGATTTACCATTGGAAGTTTTAACTTCAACTGCCCTTACAAGACCATCATGACCTGGAAAGATTTTTGTTATACGAGCCATAGGCCAATACATGACAGGTACATTATCTTCTCTTAATATTACTAGCCTACCTACTGTTACATTGGCTGTGGTATTTTTCCATTTGGGTCTGTTTTGCAATATATTAAGATATTGCTTATACCATATTTTCCAAAATGACTGCTTAAGTTGAGTACATAATTGCCAGAATTTTAGGCGATTTTCTGGAATATCAATAAAATCACTTTCAGGGTACATAGTAAGTGCGTTACCAATTAAAAAATGACCAGGTGTCAGGTAAGAATAATCGTTTACATCTGATGATGACAGTGGCAACAACGGTCTGGAATTTAGAACACATTCAATTTCTACTAACACAGTATTAATTTGTTCATATGTTAACATTTTGTTCTGTGTAATTCTTTTAAGATGGTATTTAGTACTTTTTACTGCAGCCTCCCAAAGACCACCAAAGGTAGGTGAATAAGATGGTATGAAATGGAAATTTATATTCTGTGTAGATGCATATTGGCAGACCTTTCTTTGATGTTCTTTTGATGACTGTAGGCGGTAAAGCTCTGCTAATTGATTCTGTGCGCCTTTAAAAGTACTAGCGTTATCAGAGTAGACTTCTCTGGGCAACCCCCTTCTGGAAATAAATCTTTTAAGGCACGCGAGATAAGACTCTGTTGTAAGATCAGAGGTCACTTCAAGGTGTAACGCTTTAGTAGCAAAGCAAACAAATACACAAATATACCCTTTGCCCACAAGTGAACGTCTTACGCGCGAGAGTTTAATATTTATTGGCCCAGCGAAATCAACACCGACCTTTTCAAACGGGCGACTCATGGCAGTCACACGGTCGGCTGGCAAAGAACCCATTAATTGCTTTGACGCATCCGCCTTTAACTTAAAACAAGGTATACATTTTCTAGTTAATTTCTTTACATATGATAGACCGTTAACAATCCAATATCTTTGATTTAAATTAGACAATAGTAATCTAGGCCCTGCATGTAACAGCCTTAAATGTTCAGCCTGTATTATACAATTTGTTACATGAGATTCCCTTGGTAAAATTATTTGGTGTTTTTGTGCAAATGGAATGTTAGAGTGGTGTAACCTACCTCCTACCCTAAGAATACCAGAAGTGTCTATGAAAGGATATAAATTTTGCAATGAACCCTTTAAATTTTTATTATTTTTTAAGCAAAATAATTCATCCTTAAAATAAATTTCTTGTTCTTTCTTAACAAGCAATATTAAAGCGTTTTTTAATTCTGAACTAGATAGATAATTATGAGAGATTCTGCCGCCCTTTAAATTATTTGCAAATCTTAAGACGAAGGCTAACGTACGTACCATCTTATGAATACTCGAAAATTTTTTCAAGTAATTGTGAACATCGTTTGTGTCTGTGACTATCTGGTTGCTAGAGAATGTTGACTCGGCCCTTACCTCTGGTAGGTCAACAGGGAGCTCTGTTGGATTATAGAATACATATCGTGCGTCGTGCATTAAGGACGGGCCGTGCCACCACATAGAGCAGGAGGCTAGCTTTGTCGGCGCTACACCCCGGCTTACATAGTCAGCGGGATTGTCTGCGGTATTCACATAAGCCCACATGCAATCACTTATATTATCAGAAATAGCCTTAACCCTGTTCGCAACGTAAGCACCCAGTTTAATCGGTTCAGTTTGCAGCCAAGCTAACACTATTTTAGAATCTGTGAATAAATATATATTTTTAATTTTGTGTTTTAATTGTAGCAATTCCCGTAATTTTTTAACCAAAATTGAAAGCAGTAGGGCAGCGTTGAGCTCTAGGCGCGGCACTGTCATGTTATTGCGTTGAAGCGGGTTAATGCGCGACTTAGAACACAGCAGGTACATATCAACTTTACCTGACGGACGTATAATTCGCAAATAAACGCAACAGCCGTATGCTGTTGAGCTGGACGCATCCGAAAAACCTATGAGTTCAACAGTATCTGAATTAGTTATATGAATATTTCTATCTATATATATAGGTTCCATTTCAGACAGACTGGAAGTAAATTTAAACCATTCTTCCCTAATACTACTGTCGGGCATCGAATCCCAGTCAGTTTTAGAAGACCATAATTTTTGCATAATTGATTTTGCTTGCACAATGATGGGACTGATAAAGCCCATCGGATCATAGAATTTTCCAATGTAAGCAAGTATTTCCCTTTTAGTTGCTTTATTTTTGTCACTAAAGGGTTCTGGACAAGATATTTTAAATTTATCCTTTTTGACTATTAATTGTAAACCTAAGGTTTTCAAACTACAATCTTTACTTTGAAGTTCTACATCATCAAACTGCTGGTGATCAGGTGAAATATCTGTCAATATTCTATTGTCATTAGACGACCACTTATGAGTTTGAAAGCTGCCTAACTTTAGAAGTTCAATAATTTGTGACTTTGCTTGTAAAATTTTATTTAAATCGTTATCGGCATACAATATGTCATCAACATATGTGCAATTGTCTAAAATAAATGAACCTAGTGGCAATGTATTTTCATTTTGCATTGCTAACTGCTTTAGACAACGAGTGGCAAGGTAACTTGAACTTTTTAAACCATAAGTGACAGTGTCAAGCCTTATGCATTTTATATTTTCACTTGGGTCATCACGCCACAATATGTTTTGTAGTGAAGTGTGCTGTGAGACCAAATTAATACTTCGAAACATTTGCTTAATATCTGTGATAAATGTAAAATCACCAAATCGAAATAATAATAAAATATCAAAAAGTTCCCTTTGTACGGTGGGTCCGTTTAGTAATAAATCGTTCAGAGATATCTTTTTGTTGGTTTTCATAGAACCGTCAAATACTGTACGTAATTTTGTGGTTTTACTATTATGATTAAAAACCGCATGATGGGGTAAGAAATACACCGCATCTTTATTTAATTGATAAAGCTCAATATCGACATAGTGCCCATGTTTCAAATTTAAATATTCATGAATAAATTTTTTATATTCTAAAAAGAGTGAATAATTATTATGCAATTTTTTCTCTAAATTTAAAAATCTTTTAAGTGCCAAATTAAACGAATCACCTAGAGCAGTATTGATTTCACTCAAAGGTAATTTTAATGGTAACCCGACTTTAAATTTATTTTCTTTTAGCTGAAAAGTTTCTTTGAAATTATTTTCACAAAGCTCATGCTCAGAGGATTTTTCATTATAAATTTCTGGTACACTTTCAGTTTTCCAAAAATTATTTAAGATGTCACTAGTGACAGCATCGCATGTACACTTTAATGTGACCTTATTGCAAAACTGAGATGTATTATTAACTCGTGGCAGAGTACCTCCGATAATGTATCCAAATTGAGTATTAATGAGACGTGGTGACTGGCTGTCAAACTGCGTTGCCGATGGCTGGATATTAAGCGGCGTCGCTGGCTCGCGGCTCAGCAAACTTGAAGGCTGGCTCACAGGCTCGTAGCTCGGCGACTCCGTAGGCAGTAGCACCTGGAATACCACATCCGCACCCATTAGAACATCAATCTCACCTGGTACATTGAATTGATCATCTGCCAGATTAATCCCTCTAGGAACGCAATCTTTGGAGTTAAATTTATATTGTGGCAGGTTGCATGTAATTTTTTCAATTACATGGCATGTAACAGGAATTTTAAAGGAGTTTTTTGTTGAATGGATTTCTACAGGTAAACAATACTTTAACCTGGATTTAGTATTTGTGATGCCTATTACATTGACATTTGTTTCTGTAGGCCTTAATTTTAGCAGCTGTGTCGCTTTTTCAGTCATGAAAGACAGCTGAGACCCAGAATCCAGCAGTGCTCGAAGATATACTGGCTTGCCATCTCGAGCTATAATTTTTATCTTTGCTGTGGGTAATAAAACTTGATTAGTCAGTTCGTTTGCTGATAATGAGGCAGCTGATGTGGTACCACTATCGCTGGGGATTTGATGCAGCAATGAGTTGTGTGGTTCCTTGCACTTGTTACACCGAAAATGGTATTTACACCTATTTGAGTGACGACTTAAACATATGCGACAAAGAGACTTTTCTTTGACGAAGTCAATCCTTTCTGAAATAGGCATTAATTTAAATTTGTTGCATAAATAAAGTTTATGTTCACACTTACATAGTAGACACGTAGGTTTAGTCGTCGCTGCTACGGTAGTGGTGCGTGCGGCAGCGGCTCCGTGCTCACGATGCTGCTGACGATGCTGCCCGACGCCAACGGCAACTCCCGGGTCAGCATTCTCTAGCGCCAGTGCGCGCTTTTCCAAGAAAGCGAGGAAGGCGTCCAATGTTGGATCTTCTGCGCCATTTCTTTCCAGTTGGAAAGCGCGAGACGTATAGACGTCTAATTTACGAAACAATATGCATAAAATAATCGCGTCCCAATACCGAACGTTAGGTTCTAAATTTAATAGAGCGGCAAGAATCTGTTTTATAGTACATACAAACTCTCTTAAATTTGCTGCCGTAGTTTTTAAAATAGGCTTAAGATCTAGCAACGCATTAATATGCCCGTTGATTAACCTACTTTTATTGTTATATCTTTCATTTAAAATTTTAATTGCATCGATATAGCTTTCAGGTGTAAGTGATAAATTTTTTATCAATTCTAATGGTTCACATTTAAGGTGACACCTTAGGTAATATAACTTTTGCACATTATCTAATAAATTATTATTACCTATTAATGAGTTATACAAATTAATAAATGGTATGTATTCAGTGAACTTACCATCGAACGTAGGTATATCTATCGGTGGTAACATTACTTTAGGCACGGACCCTGGAGGTGGACAGCTGGCACTATGCTTATTTTCTTCGGTACGATTCTTTGTCTCCGAGTTTAAGCACGACAATGTTGAACAATATTTCTCCTCTACATCTTCTATATTTTCTTTATTATCGGGATCTAATGAAAATATTTTTATGTTATAGCTTTCGTATTCTTTAAAGCATTCTATTAAACGAGATCTTTTTACGTTTAATGTTTCTAAAGTTATTTTTTCTGCATCAATTTGATTGCACCAATTATGTAAACGGGTGATATTACCTTTAGTATATTTTCGTGCACTAATTAACTCTGCCAGCTCCATTGTCCGTACGTAAACACACTACGTTTATATTCTAAATCGAACACTAAACTTAAGCAATTAATTATTAAATAACACTTAGTACAATGATCGTAACTCGCGATGTTATGTGACAAATTATTTTTAACTTCGTGCATATGCGCGTACGCTCGCTCGCCTCGCGTCGAAATGGTGTGGTATTGGTAGTGATGCACCCCCGCCCGCTCGGCTCGCGCGGTCGCCCGGTCGCGAGGTAGTTCGGCCGGTACAGGCGTCGTCCGCCTCGTGTGCAGCCTTCGCCCCCGCTCCCACCGCACGGTGTAGATCTGTTGCCATGCACTGCAGTCCGCACGCGCGTGGATTTTTTCAGCCGTGCGTAAGATTGTACCTACTTATTTCTCACGACCAATTTCAAAATTTTTGCTACTCTTGCCTTCAAATTGCAGTTGTTGCTGAAGTCTCTTCTTGATTAAGTTTTCCTTGCGAAGGACCATGTGGAGCCGTTAATGGACTTGTAATTAAAATGCTGGTATATTATAATGAAGAGGTTTATTATTGTCAACAACAAACTGAGACGCGTGCGTCTTGTGAAGTATACAGTGAAAGAGAGAGCGCGCGGATACATTGCTCAGCTATTTATACCTTATGTAATAACTAGTGTTGGGAACATCCCGACAAGGGGGTCTGCCCCTTGGTAGTAGGCTGGTGATAATATTAGGTTCTTGTTACCCCAAACGTGGGAGTAACCAAAGAATAACTTATAGGGAGGTAATTACCCCTGTCTTAGGAACGATGGTTAAAGATTAATCTAAGGATACATCGTATGGAAAATACATGTAACGATGACTCACCTGTGGAATTGCAGGCAACGTTCGTACCACGATCCAACCGGTTCCATCTGATTGTCTGGCTGATTCGCCACTACATGGTCAATGAAATTTATCTCTACTTTAGGCCTGCACATTGAAAAAACACCTATTAGGCAACATTACTCACATTCCAAGATGAGTATCGGGTCTTTGAGACAACAAAGGTACCACACAGGTACCTACCATTTTCTCCATTAACCCCACCGGAAATCGATCCCGTGACCTCAGAAATGGCGACTTTGAAACCGGTGTGCGAACCCTTCTGCTATAGAAGTTGGGTCTCGGGGACCGCAATGGTTAGAGCATTCGTCCAGATTACGAAAGATTGTGAGCTCGAATTCTATCGCTGTGCAATTGGAACTTGGACTGGTGAATTTTTTAACCCTTTTTTCATTAAAGGTATATTACCATTGAGGTATGTTACTGAAATTTTGCGATTTGTAACATTTAGCATCTATACACGAGCAGAGCACGCATTAGTCTCGAAACGCGTGACGAATTGTATGTTATGCATTTTGTATACTAATATTTTAAAGAGTAAAGATTTGATTAGAAAAGAATTTGGGCTACTGGACCTATTTTTTTTTACCTACGGGTAGCTGGTACGCTAGTGACATAAGTATTAATTTAGTCACTGGTAAGGCCTGGTCGTGGGAAAACTGCGGTGCATTTTTAAACGCAGTGCAGTCTCAACCTTAAGAATTCTTTTGAAGCAGTACCAGTGCTTTGCTATTCTATGATAAAATCACCGTCGAACACAACTCTATCACAGTATAGAGCTTCAATGAAATAAAACCTTTATTTAATTTTATTGGATTTATTGGACTGAACCTCTATGCTGTGAAATTTCTGTACTCGCTTTTAGCTCGACGCAGATTTTTTACAGAAAGCATTACTACAGTGTAGATGTTTAGTAATGATCAGAAATCAGAATTATTTATCCGAAATTGTGCTATGACTAGGCCTTTACGACTGGCGCGCATGGTGGCAAAGTATGGTACATTACTAGTGATCAGAAGGATCAGAGACCGAGGGTTTCAGATTGCACCCAGCAAAACATACCCAATGAAAATTCTGCTAAAATAAGGGAAAACTTAATCTTTGGTTCTCCATTAAAAAAAAAAAACATTTCAATTGCTTTTTTCTTACTTACAAATGTTTACTGATAGGATCGGTTTGTAGTGATTGGTATCCCGGTAGGAATGCTCCCTTATATTTTGATCTGTCCACTAGTGTGTGAGTATTGTCTCCGTACTGTAAACAATGTTTATTATATTATCCATCAAGTAAACGGTAAGTCGAAAAAGAATTTAGTAATTTTATTTGATCGATTGCATTTACAATGCTATCTGATAAATTTGTTAAATGAAAAATGCTTAAAAAATCCACCAATCCTAGGCACCCGAGGTGGGACTCGAACCCACGATCTATAGCAATCTGGGTGACTGCTCTAACCACTGACCTACCCATGACCGTTTTTTGACGCTGAGAAATGCGTTACGCATGTCGATGGAATATCTGAAACTCCACCTGTGGACCCATCATAGAATGGAGCTATTCAAGAAACAGGGCCACCCTCTAAGCTCAGCGATGTCCCTCTCCATGAACTCGATACACGGGGACAGCCCGGAGGCCACTTCCCGCGTCGTTCGACCCCATTTCAACCCACCAAGCTACCAGAGACCAAAGTGGACAAGCAAACCAAAGTGACCAACAATTTTTTCAAGCACTTGCTACTTTTTCCCTACTAGTGATCTGGGGTGAAGGGATTCTTTAAGCATGTTTCATTAAAAATAATTAAGTTAGTTAAATAACAGCCAGTTGCGGAAACGTTCATTAAATCTTTCATTAATTTAAAGTTACATTATCCATACACTTTTGACATTCATTAGAGCTTAAAGGAGTCATTAAACCTTAATGAACGTTTGTGCAACTCACCGTAGGAGCCATATAACAAATGAAAAAAATGACAATTATTATTATTATTGAAATCCGTTATAGGACTTAGTAGGGGTGATGACTGGGTAAAGAAAATCTGTTATGTGTTATAGAAAAATATTAGATACGTATTTTTTTCTTCAATTTAAGAAAAAATGGTGCATAGGCATTTAAGTTGAGGAGTGGGGGCTCGCTACGTCACAATCGCCGTAATTTATTGATTACGCAAAATAAAAAACTAGAACAATAATGATCTGTTGAAAAACGCCGAAAATAGTCACACATCCATTTACAGAAGCAATCTTAATGCCGACTTCAAGTTCTTAATTAATAGTCGAAATTTGAAAATTTGAATCGGCAATTAAAATGGACGGTTCAGCAACAGAGTGACAGTCAGTTTGTGAAACATACTTTTTCTTTATGATGTTAGAAGCTATAGGATATTGTATTTATATTTAAAGTGAATTAATATAAATAATAATTCCTTACAGTTTTCAAAACAGCCATCCGGACAGAGCCAAATTCGTCCTTTGCCTCCCAAATGTCTTTCACCACGACCGCTCCCTGTTTCTTCGCATATTCCACTATGTAGTCCAAATTCTCCACTTCGAATGCTATGTCCTTCACGAAGTCACCGTGGATGGCTACCTCCTTGTTGAAAGACGTCTCCACTGGGTCATATTGAGCTTGCAACACGAACGTGATCTGAACGGAATAGAAGGATATTAATATTAGATTAAAAAGCGATAGTTTCTAATTTTGTTGGTTTGTTTACACCCCTAAATATTCGGAATTACTGATTCGATCACAAAAATTCTTTTACCTACGGGAAGCTTTATCATACGCGGATATACGCTATTACGAGGACGAAGTCGCAGGAAAGGCAACTTTCACACTTGGACATATTTCATAAGATCAAAAATTAATTATCTCGAACTGCTGTTGGTCAACCCCAACTGCCATAGACTCATGGCCCATGCTACCTATTCAATTTCATCTATAGAGAAGACCTGTTAGCAGCTAACTAATAGGTTATGAGTATATAATATAGAATAAGGATGAAGGCAGGGTAAAAAAATAAACTCTATTTAGTCCGTTAGTCTAACTAATAGAAAAATATTCGATAGAATAGAATAAGAAATAGCTTACATGACGAGCATGAAAGTTGAGGTGTGGGAGCTCGCTACGTCACAGTTTTGTAAATAATTTACAAAAGTGTAACTCTGTGTATCGTCGTAATTTTATGGATAAAAAATACGTGTTTCATATTTTTCAATAATCTTCTTGACGGACAATAAAAAAAAAATTTGTCATCATACCCATTGTATTATATTTTTAAATAGAGAAGTTATTCTTAGTATTATACAAATTCGATACAAATTACTTATATCTACAATATCGCAAATTCTTAAGGTCGCTTGCAAATTAATGTATTAATAAGCATACTGGTCTTGATCACCTTATTGAGTCGTACTACGTATGACGCCGTTTGTCTCGAACCAGTCTCCAAGCCGGCGTAAGCTACGGGTTCGAATCCGAACCGTGAAACGTAGTAACTGGCAGCCTAATAAAATAGATATTAAATATTAGAACTTTTTATGAATCGTATGCAAAAAGGTCGGTTGCTAAGAAATTCTTTTTATTTTACTTAATTATGAAATAAAAGGAGGTTTTAGGTTCGAATATACTTTTTCTTTAAAACTTTTGCTTGCTTCTTGAAAATATTGATACTTTGCGGCTGAAAATACGATGGGAGATCAAAAAAACTATAATTAAAATTTTGTATTTGTTACAACTTTGCTGTTAAATTCATTCTTGAAATATGATTCTTACTTCAAAAGTCATTAATTTTTATGGCGAAATATTATAAAACATAATATTTTAAGAATTATTTATAATTTAAAATTTTGTTGGTGAATACGCCCTCACAAAGACATACATGTACCCGCGTTCTTTTACGAGTGTCATTTACGTCCAATATTTTGATGAAATTACAATAATATTCACCATTGTTTTAAGAATTTGAGAACGTCAAACCTTAATTAAATTATAACCTTATTTTGGAGAAAATGGTGGTTACGCCTTTTGAGGCGCAAGTTATTGATATAATTATTTAGATAAAGTAAATTAAGGTACAAAATTGGTATTGCATAACTCTACTCCGCTTTTCAGAAGACACATTCAGCCGTTGGCATCGGTTGCATCTACAGTCGTTACATCGTTACATGTGACTATGAAACAATGTTAAAAAAGAAACAAAAATTTTGATTATGTACCTGTTTAGCGTTGGAGACCCAAAACGTTAAATGGTCGAATGAAACGAATCTGCCTTGCTCTGGCTTTTTTCCTTTGTCTGTATATGTGGTCTGAAACAAAACGATGATACTGAAATAAAAAGTAATACAGTTTTCATTTCAGATGCATGAATTGTATCTTTTTCTCTCACGATGTAACTGTGTGCCATATACTCGTGGTACATTTATTATTTATTTTATTTGGTAATTTTAAATTTTATACATTTTGGTAATTTTAACATACGAACTGTTTTTACAATATTTTTTTGTTTGTTCCAGTTTCTTTTCTTTACCATTTATACCACAAAATTCCATTCTCAAGCTAGTCAGCCTTTTATTATTTGCCCAAGCATTGATCCCGTCGGCGCAGGCGGGTTTTTCAATTAATGTGGGCTAATCCCGGCGGCACTGCTTGCTATGCCGAGCGAGGCCCCCTGACGGGAGCGCAGAGAGCCCGGAACATCTCGTCGATTCACAAAGACAGTTGAATTAATATACTGGTTCCTCAGTGAAGGAACTTTCAGATATTAAGCTGACAAGAATCTTAGCCAAAGTGCCGAGACGCGATATCAGTTAATGATGAGTCCCTCACTCGTGAGGTTTTGAGGTCCTCGTTTCGTCAAAATAAGGGAGTACTCGTTTTTCAAATTTGAACCACCTCATTTAGTTCCTCACTGTTTGAGGCCTCGACCATGAGGTGTAAATACTGATAATATGCCTCGATCAACAGAATAGTGAGTTTCTTAGAATGAAAGTCGATACATAATCCACATATAAACGATTGATTAAGTAAGTTAACGACTCAGTTAAGTTTAGTTTAACATTTCCTAGTGCCTATTTAACTTTATCTTAGATGCATTAATGAATAGAATCAGTTGAAGTAAGGCATAATGAGTAAAAATAAAAAAAAATACCTATTCTATAGTGAAGAAAGAAATTAATAACCGAAATTAATTATGCGTATGAAAATATTTTTACAATAACTTGTTTTACAACAATATTTAATTAATTTAATTATTATAGCTTTCATTGTTCGATCATTTATCAGAAATGTTTTTTCTCGGCTCGAAATGGCGACGTGACAGTTGTGACGCCACCATACAGCTTCTTATTAGTTTTATTTTATCTAACCTTTATGTTGTATCAACGTCGATTTCGTCGTTGATTTTTTTTATAGAATAGCCTACAGATAACACAGTAGGTGACTTAAAAACTAGTATTACTTGATGGAAACCAGAAAAAAACGAAGATAGAATATAGAAAAGTAAAAATGTTCTATTTTGACCTGAACAGACATCGAACCCGCGGATCTCTGATGCCTTAAAACTTTAAAACTGGTGTACGAACTACGAGGTCACGGCAGTAGCAGACTAACCCTGTTGGACGACAAGCTACAGGCTGTACTTATTTATCTACGGCGCCTCCAACTCGAATTTATAAAGTGATCATGGGACTTTGTAGCCATTTGGAGGTCCCTCAGAACCGGAGCCTCCCCCCTCCTCCACCCTTAGTCCGCCACTGGGTCACGGTTTAAGGGTCACGGCGTTTTTATTTAGGTAAATAGATTAATTATTGTTATATATTTATTAGGGACCCTTCTTTCACTTCTGAATTTCAAAACATAGTTCAGAGCTCGTGACGTGAAATCTGGCAATTTTTGCTTTAGAGATTTGCACTAATAATATTTCTTACTACAAGCTAATGGTCCGCATGTGGCACCTATACAATGAAATTGTTGCACTTGACGAGGAAGTCGACATATTTCATTTATCTTTTGGTTGGTTCGGTAATTGTTTAAGGAGGGTGTTATTTAAACGATGATATTTTTGAGTTGGTGCATGTAATTATTGTATTTCAATTATACATATAGCTCAAACGTCCATTTAAATTGTAAATTAGTTTAAAACAACGTAATCCATACATATATGACATTCATTAGAGCTTAAAGGCGTCGTTTAACCTTAATGGACGTTTGTGCAACTGACCGATTAAAGATTAAAGTACCTGATTAAAGTAACTAATAATCAGTTACTTTAAAAATAAATTTAACCTCTTTTAACTTAGAGATGACTTAATTGCAATATAATTGAAGTTTTTGTACGATTTAAAACATTTAACCGATTTAAAAGATCATAAAATATAAAAATTGTAATCAATTCATAAAAGAGGAAAGATTTGTTTGTTTGTTTGCATTGAATAGGTCCTGAAAGTACTGGACAGATTTTTAAAATTCATTCACCGGGAAACTATATAATCCACGGATGATACAGACTATTAAATACGTAGTCGAAGTCGGGGGAAAACTAGTTACAGATTAGGATTTGAAATATGTACTATTTGAAATATATATATATATACTGACCATTTTTTGAAAGTAGTTGAAAATCCTCTTATTATACCCGGTTGTCAACACTATAGCACAAACTGTATACACTGACGCGGGCACGTGAACGCGTGCCTTTATAACCAGACCTATGTTTTTTTATAATAATGAACCACCACATTTTATGGAATCCAGATAAATATAAAGGTGCGTCCTCAATGGATGACCAACCTTGTTTTTATTAACTCAGGGAAAATAAACTTTATGCCTTAAATCTTCAGTGCTATTCCGTTATAAAAACAGCTTCGAACTAGTCAACAAACGCAGCGTTATCATAGCATAGAAATTTAATCAAATAAAACCTACTTCAACAGATAATAAAGGTTTTATTTCACTGAAGATTTATGCTGTAAGAGCGCTGCGCTAGTCGAGTTCTAGACTGATTTTATAACAGAAGCACTGAAAGTCCCTTGCAGAGTAGGCAGAGAGAAATGAGCACATCTACGGTCTTTTAATAGCCATGGCAAGTATATAATCAAAAAGCCATAAGAAGGCAGTTATTCATGACAGTTTCCTTGGCATTCATAACTCTCATTTTATATACCAAATTACTTTCTATAAAATATGCTCAAAAATAGGTTTTGATGTAATCTAAAGTTATCAAGTAATAATGTAGCCCGATGGCGTGGAGGATAAGCGCCGCGGCTTGCGATCGTTGTTGTTAAGCAACTTTCGCAAGGGTCGGCCACGGGATAGGTGACCAAAAAAAATATTATCTCGAGCTACTTCGTGCTTCGGAAGGCACGTTAAGCCGTTGGTCCCGGCTGCATTTGCAGTCGTTAATACTCGCCAATCCGCATTGGGCCAGCATGGAGGGTCATGGCCCATCCTCCTTAACCATCCATAAGGAAGGCTATCAAAAGATTTTTTTATAACTGCATTTGTTTTTATTATATTTGATCAATTTTGCATCCACAATGCTTTACTGAAAAATATTCTTAATGAAAAATGCTTAAAAACCACCACCACCTGGTGATTAGCGTCTATGAACGGTTTCGTTAGGTCAACCGACAGCAAAACAGTGAAAGAAAGAAGAAGCGATGGGCATTGAAACAACAGATCAGTTTGATCAAACGCGTCGTTAGTTAAATAGTTCTTTCTTTGGTCGACTAGTTAAAAAGTCGATCGACGGTTAAACTAACAACCTACGTAAGAGGTATCCGACTTGAACAATAAATTACCATAATACTTAAAACCCTTCCATTTTGTAAAACTATAGTGTAATGTAGAATACTGCACGCGCCATCTATTGCTAAATAATTAAATCAATGGTAAGATGTTTAATATCATGTTGGATGTATTTCTAAAGAAAAAACAGTTTAACCTATGACAAATAGTCATAAACATTTGTGTATGGTATTTGTTAAATAGAGTTATAACAAAAAAACAACTAAAATATTAATTACATATCAGTCACCCGCGTGGGTCTATATTATACCTACATTTAAACCTTCCTCTTGAATAACTTTTCATGAAAACCGATTTTAAATCCGTTGAGTAGTTTAAAATATTTGAAAGAAAAGTTTCTGCCATTATGCAGTTTAATGGAATTAAAAGGAGGAAAAGGATCCTTAATTGTATAAAAGTAGCAGCGCATTGACTTTATCAATTCATCAAGCCAAACGGTCACATAAGTTTTATTTCTCTTCATTTGCATTGTAGACACAGCTTTAGATTGGTCCAATCGAATCAAGTTTAAAGACGCATAGAGCAGCCGAACCAAGCCTCCAATGGACAGTGCTTCGTGACTATGAAAATATGGAACTAAATAGTCACCAATTTTTAGTATCCAAATGAAAACTTTTTAAATCAATTTTTTGCTATGCAAAGGAATTTGTGTTCATTTAAATAGCTTTTGGTATAGATTAATTAAAAAAAAACATATAGTGCGTTGATGTCTTTATAACCCCGCTCATAACGAAACTTTATAACTAATAATTACTTATTCAAATTATCAAATTTAATAGAAAATAATAATGATATTGTTAACGCATTAGAACATTTTTACATTCGGGATATTATAACTATCTTTCAGACATATCAGTGCTATTAATAAACAAGATTTAGCGTCAGTAAATTTACTCTAAAATTGCAATTTTAGTAGTAGTCCGAATTTATATTATATAGAGAATATGTAAACCCTCTAGGAGTAAATATTAGTTCTATACAACCACGTACTAGGTCAACCATTGCTAAGTCTCTGTTTAATAATATGAATTTTGACTATTACTAGAATACTAGGAAAGGCGTTAAAATAGAATTAAAAAATATTTTTTCATGCGCAATATCTTTTTTAGTATAAATCGTATGGTGTTTGACCACTGTGTTACTTACTGATTAATAATAAACAAAATGCTAATAAGGAAAACTAGTAATGACGACGCTGCGAGCACAGAGGCGGGGTGGCGTGGCGTCACTGTTAGCTGTTCCACTACTGATCCTATCAATATTGAACCTTTTATACCTTTAGATACAGTTCAATATAATTCATATTATTATCTATTAGTGTATATGCAGTTTTATGAAGTCAAAAGTAAAAATTGACATGAATTGTGTTTAAGTTAATTATATTGCCGCTTTAAATTTAGGAAATTCTCGCATCTTTTGTATTAAAGTGATATGGATGTTAGTTTTACATAATTACTTTGTCAGATTATTGAAGTAATTAAAAAAAAAACTCGTAAATACGTCTTTTAATTTTTTTTCACATAATCTTTGTAACTTTGTAAGTTTATGTAACTTGAATATGATAGTGATATACTTATATATAAACTTGGCCATAAAATGAAAAAAAATAGTAGCAAATCCTACAATTTCATCAATAGTATTGAGCAACGCTTTAAATTTCTATTTAGTTATGATTTCAAATTTAAGTTTTTCAAAGTGTTTTTTAGTTGTTCCAATAGTTTTTATAGAGCTATTTGTTTTACTTTTACTAGTTCTCTTATAATCCGTTATCGCAGGCTCTACCCCACTTAGTTTCATCTTGGGTCCGGTACGAGTTGGTCGCCTATTTAGCATATTCTGATATTTCAAAACATGGCGCAATAATATCGAGAATTTTCCATTGAACATAAATTTTTATATATATATAGATAGTGTGATATAATATCACAGATTGCTGATTAAATTGTTTGTAAATTACATTCATTCTGACACCGAATGTTTAAGACGCAATAAGAAATTACTGAGATTAATTTCTTGGCATCGATATATTATTGAAGCGTAATAATATTATGTTGGTTTGTAAAATTGTAGAGAAAAACAGCACTACAAAAATTGTTTATATGGGATTTAAATAAATAAGTAACGTTGCGGTAAATTGTAAAGCATGAGTACTTCTAGATATGGCTAAGCCTTCGACACAATTTGCTATGTCAATTTTACGCTGAAGCTTAAAGCTTAAACTATTCTCCGAGCACCTAGACTATACCGGATATGTAAAAAGAGAGAATATTTTTAGCTAATTTTATCTGAAATATACCTTTTTGGAGTTCCTCAGGGAAGTATCTTAAGCCCTAATCTTTTTTTAAATTATGTTAATGACCTTTACCGCTAAAATCACATGTCACTGTTGTAATATTTTCTGTTAAATGAGATAAAAATAAAAATGCCCCATGATATTTTTATATTGCGGCTCCAGCAGCGTTTTCTATAACTGAATGCAACCATCACTAAATGCGTTATCAAAGTCTGCTGTAACTGACTAAAGATATTCTCATCATTTTATGAACAACTCGTTGAGCTTAATGAAATATATACTGAAATGGGTTTCAGACAGGCTGCCTAAATTTCTTCTAATTTGCTCAATTTTGTTAGTATTTCATTCGTCATAGATTTTTTTTTAAATATATTTATTAACCGAATCATTAAATTCCTTTTTAGCTTTTGAAAGTTGTCTTTGTGATAATTTTTTAAGGAGCCAAATATTACAATTGATGTTTTTGTTTTCATAATAAAATTATGTAGCTTATATGTTGCCTACTATGCTATACTGTTCAAAACAGCTTAGTACTTAAAATGTAGGTCTTTATTTATTAAAAACAGTATTTCATTGTAGTAAGAAATACAGCTATTTAATTCTATAAGAATAGGGATGACGACTGGCTAAAAAATCTATTTAGTCCTTCAGTCAGATTAGAAACGTATTTTTTTAATTTAAATTAAACAAGAAATAGTTTAGATAATAGGCATTAAAAGTTAAGAATTGGGGGCTCGTTACGTCACAGTTTTGTAGAAAATGTACAAAAGCGTGACGTCATGCGACATTTCAACTCAATTTGTCGCCGTAATTTATAGATCCATATTATTTTGATGGAGTCAGTTTCCATAGTGAAACGCACGTGGACATTTTGAACACACCGTAAGTCTTTGTAAACTTGAATGTTTTGATGCTCAGTTATACGTTTCGTCTAATTCAGTATCAATGCATTATTATACGTATTATCTTTTATCTGAGATGTGTGAAATTTGAAGTAATAGTCATTGTGTAATATAATTGCAAGGGTAATCTACCATACTGTCTCATAACTTTCATATGAACCTTAACTTTGGCTTATTATTACCTTATTATTGGCTGATTGTTTCTACTAGGTTTTATACTACATAGATGGCGTTCTACATAAGGTTCAGTATTATAGTAATCTGAATCAACAAAAGCATCACAACATTCAGACTCGAGACAATAAAAGAAAAAACAGGAACCACGAAGTTGTCAGTATTTTAATGATTTGATAAACGTTGGTTGGTGGTTTTACAATCCTTATTATAACATAAAATGACATTTTTAATTAGATTTTTGTAATAACGCCATTTACTTACTTTTTATAAAAAAATAAAGAATTTTAATTGTAGAGATTATATGTATTTTATTGTATTGTAATATATTTGCAGAATTAAGTACAATGAGTTGCTTTTTAATATCATAGATAACTCTAAGATTTGTTGTCGACGGCTTTTTCTTTTAGTTTATTTTCGGATGTAGCCTCAAGAAGTTCGATTGCTTCAAAGACCCATTGGTAGTTCATAGCGCCAAAACCCTGTCAAACAACAGTGTATACAAATTAATCACACTCGCTATGAAAACAACATAAAATATACTTATTAATATTCGAGAGTAACTCGGTAGCGTAGTGGATAAACGCCGCGGTCATCGGTCACGGGATGAGTAACCAAAAAAATATTATATCGAGCTACTCGATGCCTCGGAAGTCACGTTAATCTGTTAGTCTCGGCTGAATTTAGCAGTCACAGCCCATAAGGAAGGCTTGAGCCCCTGCAGTGAGGACGTAAATATTCGAGTCGTATAGTATCCCTATTCGATATGATTCTGCATCCATAGGGAACATTCTAATAGTTTTGTTAAAGTTATATCCGCAAAGATATCTGTGCATCAAAGGCAGTCACACGTCCTACCTCCGGTGAATCATAGATTATAGAAAAGTTTTTGTGCGAAGACGAGATTTTATATTCCGAGAAATAGAATAGGCCTTCAACATGCTTTCTGTTGAACGCATTCGCAACAGATCGACTTTGCAATTGTGTTGTTTCGTACTCTTGCTTTGGCACACTAACGCCAATTGACTCAATATTGCGTGTACTAAATAAACTACTTGACATTGAGTGTATGTTTCAAGGGTACGAGCTAAGAGTTGATGATAATTGAGATCGTTATTGGATTATAATGACATTGACATTAAGATTTCGTTCAAGAGTTAGCCTGTAGTAATATTTAGTATTTAAAGCTTCTTGATTGACAATAAGAATGAAATTCTAATGAAGTCACTTTCCAATAAGACTTCTCTGTGTGAAATAAAACAGGGGAAAAAGCCTCCCGCCGTAGTTTTGCGACCCGTTGGCGTAGTTTTCGACATTCACAAGTGTTATGTAAACGATTTTTTTTAAATATCGGCCACGAAAAATATTCAACTTACTCTATGGTTCCTTCTCTGCAATATCTCTATGAAAAGAGTGGGTCGCGGTTGTAAGTGCTTCATGAAGGCTTGCAGCATATATCCTCTATCGTCAAAGTCTATAAGTATACTAAACTCCTTCATGGCGTCGAGACTCTCTGCCACCTTCACAGAACTGCCTTTTAATTTCCCTTTTATAACATCATAGTATGTTGGAGGGAAAGCTAGAATCTCAGCACCTCGTGCTTTCAGGTTACGCATCTAAAAATAAATAAATAAATTTATATTATACAACATCACATACGTTATTCAGATCTCAAATAAGTAGTTAAAGCATTATTATGGAAATCTGAAACAATGAAGAAGACAACACCCAGATACGAGATATAGAAAAGTTCATTTTCTATATTGACACGACAAAGAAAAGAACTCGGCGGGACTTCAGAGATGACGATTCCTTGAAACTGGTGTAAATGACCGTAGTCTTTAATAAAATATAGTTCCGGAAATTCTTTCTTCTTTCATAGTCAAACATTCAATTTAATAATTAAGACTTTGATATTTATTAAATTTATGTTTGTTTTAATATTAGTAAAAAACTGTAAGTATATTGTAAGTATACTTATAAGTTTATTATAAATAGTTGGTATGTTGGTATATTATAAATAACGACGTGATTTGAGATGATGATGACGATGTTAGTCAGGTATGAAAAGAAAGATACTGTCTACAATTTTTTCCTGTTATCTATAAAAAAGTAAACTTACCGTGGTAATGATATCGTCGGTATACAAAGCTACATGCTCCACACCTGATGTGCCAAGGGCCTTGACGAATTCAGTGGCTTTGCTGACACGCAACCCTTTGGCAGCTTCGTTCATAGACAACTAGTGGACAAAATAATATATCTATGTAAAAAAATATGCTAGAATGTGATCTACTAAAGGTAAAGTAATGAACATAAAAACATTTTAATTTATTGATGGATTGTATTTCAAATGTTGCTTTTAAAATGGGTGTTTATTGTAGAAATCAACAAAGTAAGAGTTTTAATCAAAATAAAGTAGATGATTTAACCGATCATTATGACTGATGCTATAGGAGATATAAACATAAAATAAAGTCTAATTTTAATGATTTTGTGGGCCGACCCGTGACGGGAGTGGAGCGAGCCCCGAACATCCCGTCGGTTTACTAAAATCAGTTTAATATACTGGTCCCTCAGTGAGGGAACTTTCAGATATTAAGCTGAAAAGAACAGATACTACACTTTGATCTTAGCCAAAAGGCCGAGAAGCGATAAAACTAAGTACTCAACAAAGAGACGTCATCAAGCTAGAAAAAATCTTAACACCGCGAGTATTAAACATATATACTAGCGCCATCTATTTTTGTAATACGAAATCATAAAAAATATAACGAGGTCTCCGATGATTGATTTAAAAAATTATGTAGACACTATTTTATTTTTTAGCACAATAAGTAAACTCAATTATTTTTACTATAATATTTTTAAGAACATGAATTATTCAAGTATTTTCTCTATTACCACGTGTTAGAAGGCCTATCAAATTTAGACGTCATCCATTGATGATTTTTAAGTAGTATTTCTTTATGTTACATGTTAAGAGCTGAGATTCAATGAAAAATAAATTAAGATAGATATTTTATGTCTATAAATAAATACCAAGTAAATAACATTTTTATGACTGTACATGAGTGGGCATATAAACTTGTCTTCAACTTAAATACAATATCAAATAGCGAGCGAAAAATATTCTTTCTAATTCCTTGTTTATCTAGATAGATCAACTACATATTTTTGATAATCATAAATTAAAATTCATTAGAGATTAGTGGATTTTTCAAATTGATTCTTACCAACACAGTTTCATTTTTATTGATGACAGACGCTGAATTGATGCAAGAATACGGGACAATATCATGATTGTAGTCTACACACCAAAACCTGCAAGAAGGAAGGAAGGAAGCAACACTGTACCACATTTTTAAGGTAAATTGTTTTGATGAATATAATAATTAGAATATTTACATAATAAATGTATAATATTAATTTACTTACCAAACAGTTTATTCTTTCAGTTTCACTACATATTTCAAAATTAAATTAGTTTAACACAGTGATTTAATTAAAGTAGCTGCACAAAATTTACATATTTTGTAATAAAATTAGATTGTTTTTTTTTCTGATAGTGCCCTGTAAGGGCAGGCACAGCCGTTGCCATTCTTTATAAAGTATGCAAGTAAACATTTTTAGAATGAGCTTGAGTTTAAAAAGATTTATACCTATTTTTACCTGTGCATGTTGAGGTTTTTTTCATACCAAGCTACAGAGTCTGCTAAGGTTCCATCAGCCATATTTCCTTCAACGTGGTCAATATACATTAAATTCGTAAGTGGTCTAAAAATAAAAATAATGTTCGAGTCAATATTAACCAGTTAGTCTATGATATGGGATTGGGCGTGTCCTTTACTGTTTTATTAGATATTTCTGTATGAAGATTCTGATACTAGTAATAAAGAATTTATAGGAAAGAAGCAGTACTACTTAACTATATAATTGAAATAAAATAAGCAAATAATAAGTATACTTATGATTCTCACAAAAGATCGTTGACAGGATCGTCCTCGACTGTTTTATATCCAGGTAGAAACAGCCCTTTGTATTTTGATCTGTCTATAAGCGTGTGCGTATTATCGCCGTACTGAAAAAAAATATCAATATTAACTAAAAAACTTAATATACGCAAAAATTAGAGGTATTTCTATACCCGAACTGTGGACCTACATCGCTCCTGTACATATAACTAAATATCGGTACCCACTGTTTTTAAAATCGCGTATCTGATAACTCCGTCTTCATCTTTCTCTTCAGTTACGTCAGCTACTAGCTTAGCGCCACCATCTCTGGCACGTCGCACCAGTTCATCCAATGCCTCTACTTCAAAAGCCACATCCTTTACAAAATCCCCGTGAGCCTCGAGATCTTTCACTAATGTGCCGCCCGCAGTGGTTGGTGATTCAAATACAATGGTTATCTGAAATTAAAATTATAAATTATATTTAAAGCAACAAAAGCAAGCTGCGTTGTTTCTGACATGAGACAAGAATGCACAGGTGCTCTATTTTTGATTCATTCATTTAAAATCAACTTCAACTTCTAAGTCTAAACGCCGTTTTTTTTGTATTTTTGAATCGTTCGTCAGCAGGGTGGCCAGCATGATTCGAAATATTGAATTTTGTTCTTCGTATATTAAGGAAAATATTTTTTGCCATTTAAATGTTACGCTCAAAGACCGATATCGCTCATTGAGTGAGCACAATACCCACATAGCGAAATTCGTGTTATAGCTCTAAATTTGAAGGACATAAAAGTCGATGAAGGTTTCACGATTCAAACGATCGCGTGCTGTTGGAGAGTGAGAAGAAAAATTTTTAAAATCGGCGTACACAAAATATGTGTGTTAATGTCCTAACACACATATTTTGAAGACCGTGAACATATCTAGATAGTACTTGATGGTTAGATTATTTTTACCAAATTTCTCTGTCTCAGTAAAAATTGATGTAACTTAATTTGTACCTGATTGAGCTTCACTGCGTGGGACAACACCGGCTTGCCTTCAGTCGGTTCCCGAGTTGCGAACGGCTTAAAACCAAAGCGAGTCACGAAATAACTAGCTGCCTGAAACAAATAATCCGTAAACAAATACAAATCATTGCTAATCCGTATCCAACGTATTTTTTATTTTCTTATTATAAACTTATAAAAATAAAGTATTAATAGAAAAATGAGTTACAGGTATTACTTTATAATTTTGTGTTTCTTGGTTCCTTTATATTACCAATAATATAATAAGGAGTCAAAATAATATTAAAATCAAATATCTACTATACTTACTGTTTTTGCATTTCCCACCCAAAATATGAGATGGTCGAAGTTGAGCACTTTGCCTTCTATGACTTTAATCGATTTCCCCTTCGTCATATTTCTTTCTGGGAACATATGTATATTGATTTTAATACATAATTGTATTATTTTAGAACACTAAATATTTATAGTAAGTAAGAAGTAAAGCAAATTTTATTTACTTTCTTTTAAAATAACAAATGTTATATTTTATTTTTTATTGTATTTGTATGTACGTTGTGTTTAAATGAAATATAATAACTGATTAGTTGCAGGTCACTACAAGTTTAAATATACTTCTGTAAAATCAAATGTATATCGATCACATAAAAAATCATTAATAGGTTTGTTCGTTTAAATAAAAATAACTACTCCTCTAAAGAATATTTTTTTAAGAAGAATTGTCTTCTTTTATTGTAATAAGATTCTAAAACAACAAGTTAAATTATATTTATTTTTAAATAGTAAGAACATTTATAAAGGAAACGCTAGTGCCATATTATATAGTATCTGCATCTGTGTTATGTATGAGCCTAATCAAATATGATTTATTTAATCATATTTAATGTTTATATAAATGACACCGTTTTAAAAAAATAGTAATAAATACATAGACAAAGACAAATGGAGCAATAGTATTAGCGCAATGGTTACGTGAGTTACATATAAATTATGAACTAGATTGCACAGCGAAATAAATGGTTATTAACTGATAATTTACTTAATTCATTTGTATTCTGTCCGTAGATTTCTGCCTGGATTTATAGGTTATCTATGTTTATATTACAATTAAAAACTCCAATTGAGTTATTGAATTTGAACATATTTTAATGGAGTTACCTCAGCAAAGTTATAGTTTAATTTCTAAAAATTGTTTAACATATTATTTCACATTTGGAGAAGTAATTTTTTCTTGAATATGATTACTGGTGCCTTCATTCGATCGAAAGCTAGTTTTCATTATTTTCAAATCGGATTACGATATTTTAGTTAGTTCAATGACACATTCATATTCTAGGTGCACGTATAATAATATTTATAATAGACTAGTACCTATACCTATTATCTTTTTTTTTAAAACCGAAATTAATATATTTCTAGATACATAAAATTTTATGTTAAAACGCATAGGTGGTAATTAAAACATATGATTATTAATGAAAATATACATGTATGATAATTAAAAACAGAATATCAAACTCCGGTCTCTTAAGAGGTATTTCATCAAGTTAAATAAATATCATATATAGTTTAAAAATATTAATAACGCATATTGTCAAATTCGGTTCATAATATTTAAAACAGTTACCTTTTTTGTACCAAATAAGTGACAATCACCACAAGAAATGTAACAAAACTGCGTCTAGATAAAAAAATGTCGTTTATATATTGCTAAATTTTCATTATCACCGAATGATCTGGTCTAATAAATTGTGAATTTATTAAAAATATATTTATGGCATGATAGTTGAATATTAATCAAGTTTATAATTTCATATAGCCTGATATTTTAATTTTTTTTTTTGATTATGAGATAACGCGTCTTATCACGACAATCTATGAATCTTTAGAGCGGATATTGCATATAAAATGATATTGAAATGTTTATGTTTAACTATAAACAAAATCAATGTAAACTAGCAAAGTATTTAATAGACATCTTTACGTTATTTATAACAAGTAGATTTCCTGCTATTTATCTTATAATGATTTTAAATGTATGTTGGTACTAGTTTCTAACGTTTCCGCCAAAGCCACCAAAATATATAAGTACCTATATATTTTCGGCACACAACATTCATTTGTAATAAAACTACCGTAAATAATTTTTAAACCTCCTGTAATTCAAAATTAAAAAATAACACAATGTCATATTTATGATAAGAAAAGTATCATCATAATTGACAGCCCTTTTACATAAAATATAATTAAAAATAAATAAATATATACATAAATAAATGTTTTATTTAATATTAATATTCTATCCTTTACTGCAAAATGAAGATAAAGAAGAAAAAATGTCTATGAAAACGTTGCTACTTGTTATCACCCTTTTTTATTTATTTTCACTTATTGTATAGTTTTATTAAAGAAAATAAAACATATACATAATTTAAATTTTTGTTTATCATAAAGATCGATTTATGAAATACTTGTTTACTGCACTATGTACAATGTTAAGCAGTGGTTACGAAATTCATCAATAGATGGCGTCAGTAAAGAAGTGTTACTATTTATAACTCGCGCTGTTAAGTTTGTTACTGATTTCATGGTACCACTCAGTTAGTTTTTACCAGACATCGCTTCTCGGCCTTTTGGCTAAGATCAAAGTGTAGTATCTGTTCTTTTCAGCTTAATATCTGAAAGTTCCCTCATTGAGGGACCAGTATATTAAACTGATTTTTGTAAACCGACGGGATGTTCGGGGCTCGCTCCACTCCCGTCACGGGTCGGCCCGGCATTGCAGTGCCGCCGGGATTGGCCCACTTAAACTATAAAATTACGATTTTTATTTGTCGTTTTCTGTCTAAAGGACATCTTATGGGCGAAGCCACCCTTTTTTTTTTCTCTCTTAATTTATATTTTAGTTGTGTTTTGTTCGTCAAAGTAAATACCGACCGATGCACTACGAGTACAAATATAAGAAAGAAGATACATAATAATAAAAATACAACATAAAGTTTGTATGACACTATCAGTTTTAAAGTTAGAAACATTATTTTTTATTATGAGACCACATTAAAAAAATGGAGTGTATTCCTGTTTCAGCTATTGTGAAAATTTTACTCTTTAAGGAGTGTAATGTAATCGTCTTTGTTATGAATTTATGAGTAAAATGTTACGCGGACAATTTAATGAATCAAAATATGAATTTCCTTTATTTAATAACACTTTTTAGATTAAATAAATATGATTGTGGTTTAATTTGATCATAATAAAGATTTAAAACAGTAAAGTAACCAATTAACGCGGGAAAACAGTTAGTAATTGACATTAGGGATGATGCCTGGGTAAAAAAAGAAAGCCTAAATAGCCCGTCAGTCAGATAATAGAAAAATATTAGATACGTATTTATTTCCTTTGCTTAGACAGGCATTAAAGTTCTATGTGTCGACACAATATATAGTGTGTTTAATATTCTTTAATAATATTCCTGACGGTCAGACAAAGAAAATTAGTCACCTTTTAGTCACGGTCTACAAAACAAGCTAATGAGCGAGCACGTGCCAGCTTGCTTTTTAAACTTTATTCACTTGAGTTGCGCTCCCTCTTGCTTTCCGCGAACGTGATACGACTTGAATGTCAGCATAAAAATCAGTATCGATTGTTGCTGATGTGGATGCTGATGCTGATATTCGCAACAACCCTGTTACAGAATATCTTTCGGTTGGACATAAGTAGGTGGTCGTTGTACAAAAAGTAATATAGATATAACATTTAGGGCCTTTTGCGCTATTAATAGGGCCGGCCAGTCCATATAGGCAAACTAGGCAACTGTTAGGGCGCCCTTTGGAGTATGGCATGGCATGAGGATGAGGATGGCATGGCATGAGGATGAGGATGGCATGAAATGTAGGACTTAAAATAAAATTATGTCTTTTTTCTTTGAAAAGTCCGTGTCTGCTATATTCAAAACTACACAATTTTCGGATCAGCCCTGCAATTCTGTAAATATCCAAACCCGAATTCGTATTCACTCAGGTGTCAAAATTCACTTCGATTAGCGGCATCCATTCAAGCTTGAACTGGGGGTCAATTCTACTAAATAAATTTTGTTTAAATCGAATCGAAAATGGATCGAAACCGAACGAAACTAGTTTTTAACGATACAATTCCAGTTCTATTTTAGCTGGAATTATATCGTATGTCACTTTGTAGAATAGGAAAACCATTAAAAACTGTAGTTTCGTTCGGTTTCGATCCGTTTTCGATTCGATTTAAACAAAATTTATTTAGTAGAATTGGCCCCCTTATAATAACGTTTAGTGGCAAAGTGAAGCGAAATGACATACGAATAGAACACCTGAGACACGTGTAGTCTCAGATATTCTATTCGTATGTCATTTCGTTTTCAAACAATTTTGTTTTGTATTTTTATACAAATGGTATCAATAGAATTTCTTCACTAAATTATGTAGATTCGGACACATGGCTTAATTCGGAATATTACAGAATTGCAATTGCTCTGCTGCAGTAACTAATTTATAGGAATCGTTCTTGTGTTTTTTTACCTAGTGCCCCAATATCCAGTGTTTTGCCTGGGGCACTATTAGACATAATAAAAATAATACAACAGTCACCTAAAGTTCCTAAGGGTAAAAAAAAACAAACATATCCAATAATAAAATAACTTCGTTTATTTCTTTTATACACATTTTTATTTACACAAGATCTCAGGTTTATTACATTATGGAGTATTAATTTATTTGCACCTTATTTTAATATAAATATTTGTCGACAGCTAAGGCACCTCAATGGAAGCTTATATTATGACAATCTCTGTGTAAATGGTCGAAGAATTGCCGCCAATTGATTGTACATATATTTAAAAAAATGTAAAATAGCCTAATTTATTAATTATATACATATACAGGGGATATTTAAATTTGTTCTTTAATTTATTACTTAATTTTAAAAATCTATTTCCACTCAAGTCTGTGCAAATTCGACCACAAGTGAAATCCACATGGAAGTTTTTTTTATATATTATATATTTAAAAAAATGTTACTAACGCGTATAACTAAATTCAGTAAAAAAGACTAGGAAAAACTTCCAATGGATTTAACTTTCAGACATCGCAATTCTTCCGTATTTTAAAGATGAAACATCATGGTTCCGTTTGCAATACCTGTTTACAGATGGCGCTTGCTTTTAAAATAGTTTCTTTTTCACTTGGGAAATGCATTCAGTTTAACAATAAAATGTTTCATACTAACAACACAAATTATATTAATAAATTTTCTGTATAATTTTCTGTATATTCTAACCTAATTGAACAGTACATTAGTAACAGTGCAAAACATATTATTATAGAACAACTAATTTTTTATTATGAAAAATAAGATCATCTTATTACAACGCCATCTGTTGTCAGATGTCAAAACTAATAAAACCGCGATGTATCATCTTAATTTATTTAATAACTATAAACAGGTAACAACTTATGATTATATACATTAACTATTTATGTACATTGGTAATTTACACGAGGAGTAATAATTAATTGTAGAGAAAATGCATGCAGTGATAAGTTGACGAAATATATTTTATACCTTAATGCGTTTAGGGTAGAGCTGAAAATCAATTGCAGAGTCATATTGTGTTAATCTGATATGCTGCTGTGTGCAATTAACATTAATAATTTAAATAAGACTATTTGGCTTAGATTTAGATTGCGCTTTTGATTAATTTTTAAATGCCAAATATAAAATATGACGGTATATGTATGACAGTGAAGAAGTGATATATCTAGAATATTCTAGTAGTGACTTCAATAGCATAGTTTGTGATATGACGGGTTCTAATCCCATTATGAGGCAATTGTGACGTCTAACGAATTTGAAGAGTTATTAATCTTTCATATTGAACAGTATTTATTACTATATTTAATCAATGGTTTTGTTTTGTTTAAATTGTTTGAATTAAAGGCATTAAATTTGACTAAATTAAAAAAGTACAATACTTTTTATACAAATCAAAGTAAAAACTTTGATCAAAAAGTTAAGTTTATTTCAGTTTCCGATATAGTTTGTCTCTTTTGATTAAGTCAAATTTAATATAATTAAAAATAAAACAAACACAACCAAAATCATAGAATATGTAAATAATAAAAGAATATAATAAATATATCCGTTTATCGTCGAAAAACGTCCATTAAAGTGTAATGACAACTTTAAGCTCTAATTAATGTTCTAAATTTGATAATTTGACATTAAACTATTGTCAATGTTAATGGACATTTATACAACTGGCTGTTAAACTGTCATAAGCTATTTGAAGACCAGACCAGGTAGGTAAAAGTTGCTGAATTCAATATAGCCCTAAATAAAGTATAGACAATATCAGCACATTTATTTCTAGGCTGTATAAGCTATTGTTTTGGTGACTTCACTGATATGATTAAAAAGATGTCATAGTGCTATAAATCTATTCGTAATTATTTAAAAAAAAAACTCCCTGCCAATTATTTAGAACACATAGTTATAAATTTATTTAGATTTCTATATAATTCATTATATTCAATTATATTTGATTAATTTTGCATTAAGAATACAATATTATTCGTTTTATTGATATAAAAAAAACTGTTGAACTTTGATGTCATTTCCATGATACCATTACGGAAGTTATAGCCGGACAATAAAAAAATAAATATACATACGAATTGAAAACCTCCTTTCCGTTTGTGATTCTGATAAAAGCTCTCTATAATATTATTTAAAAGAATATAAAATACTCGATTTGAATTAAAAATAAGAAGATAAATCTAGACAAGATTTGGGTAACGTAAGTTACATAATTAAGCTGCGTAATTTTCAGTAAAGAGTTGATGTGCATTTTACAAAGACTTTATAATAAAGGAACACAAAGCGCTTATAAATATAATAATAATTATAATTAATTATACGAAATGGTAATTTGGTATATACCAACGGGCTGCTTCGTGAAATGGATTAAAAAATATAAAAAAATTTGAGATCAATTTAATATGTAGATTCGCAATTGGAGCTTTTGTTCGCGCCATGCTTGAAAACGAGTGTTTATGATAAAAACATAGATAATAATAGAGATTGCGAATGGTTTTCTACCTTTTTTGTTATAAATTTCCAATATTATCATTTTCGTAAGAATTTATGGAATTAAAAAAAATCATTATTTTTATATCTTATATGAATTGCTGTGTTAATCAGATATAAATGGCAGTCAAATACAAACATCATTAAAAACATACATAAGTTCATTGAACCTTTTATTTAATCCCATAGAGTGATAATCACAGAGTCATAATCAGTACTAAAATAAAATCAGTCCATACATCACACGACTATAGCAGATCTTAGAGCTCACTCCACGTCGCAGCCCGCTATTCACACGCCCTATATACAAAGAGGTAAGGTTGAAATTTGTACCTCACAAGACTATACGCACTCATGCCGACCTCTCGGTCAATTGTAAACATTCCAATTTTGAAATATTTTATATGTTATTTTCCGCAGACTATTTTAGTTCGATTTTCAAATCGCGAAAGTCTCCGCTTAGAATTGACATTGAGGTTTTATTGAAAAGCACGCAGTACCGAAAGGGAGTTCCCTAGGACCACAATTAACGGGTCCCTACCGTTGTATATCACAGAGCTGTTGAGATGGTGGCAAGTCTATGAGTTGTGCTCTTTCTATTGCGACCAGGCAGCCGCCAGGGGCGACCAATAGCGGGGCGGAGGATGCTCCTACCCACACTTTCTTCACGTCTTCAGTATTCTGCGCCAAAGGGGACATGTAACCACCTCTGAAATAGAAAACAAAAATAGCATCAAAACTATGATATAACTTGCTAATAAATTCATTATTTGGATGACGTTTACAAAATTGGCAGAATTGCAAAATTCAATATTTAAAGTAAGCTTTGGAAAATGAAGAGAAAAAATACAGCTACACAATACGGCATTTATTTATTTAATTGTTAAAAATAATTTTAGAAACTAATCTAGGGCTGCCATCTGTCCGAGTTTCCCTTAGTTCTAAAAGCGTCCGAGGAGCAATCGGACAATATTTCACATTTTGTCCGGCTTTATTTTCAATTGCAAATGCAGTGCAATTTTCCATGCCAAATATATATATTAGACATACTAATTCGGTGTATCGCTTACCTTAACTTTCTATCGGCATGTAGTAAAGCGTCTGCTTTCAACAACCTGACAGCCACAGCGACTAGGAGGAACAGTATCAGCGCCCCGCACACTGGCACAGCTATAGTGGCCGCTTTGAACCACACCTCGCCATTGTAGCCGCCACGCTCGCTAGCCACTGAGTTTGTATCTGAAAAAAAAAGTATATTTTTTTAATTTACAATAATTAAGCACCTGAAAATGTTCCCACTGGAACTACAAGTTCCTCATTAGATAACACTTAATTATTTAAGATGATTTCTTTTTGTTTTATCTGAATATGGCTCCAAAAAGTCAAATAACTTCTTATAGGAGATTTAAAAAAGGGACCTTCAAAAGCCCGAAACATGAAATAAAAAAGACAGGATCTAGCAGAAGTCATTATTTCTAGTGAATTGTAAAATACGATAAGTACTTAAAAACTATTGTTTACTTCAAAACAGTCCCTTTATGTAAACCTCCACAATCGTAGATCAAACGAGCGAACCGAATCAATTTAAATATGCGTTGTATTAAAATACTATTCTACCTATTTTGAACAAACCCAAAACGACTAAATATTACGTAGCTTTTTTCACGGGAAATAGAAAAATATCAATGATATTCCTATAAACTTGATAACACGTGCGTTATGTTTCAAGAGACTTAATAAGTACACAAACTACTATTATTTTTCTTTTATAAAGAAGACTAAACATGTAGACATGTATTTATACCGCGTAAGTAACTTTAAAGCTTATAACAGCCAATAGGTACGTTACAAATTTGATAAGCCAAATGCCTATCTTACTAAATACACCTCCCACGCAGAACGGTAGTGCGAATTGTGACTGTAATAGCCCAATAAACAATGTGCTCATAAAGCTCGTTTAGTTCGGTGAAAGCAGACCTTGCAGGTCGATACCAGGAACACATGATAAGATACCAGCAATTACGAATCTTCATTTATGTAGGCACAGAGTCGCACAATGTTGTGATAATTAATATAAGGTATGTTATCTACGTTGTATATAATTAAATGTGAATAGCGCTTATAATAAAAAATAAATATTATTGCTAATGTTCCTATTTTTTTTTAATTTAGCACTTTAATATAAAAGTGAAAAACCTGTACATTAGTACACTTAATTCTATCGTTAGTTAGTCATCAGATTTTGTGTAACGTCATCATATAATAAAAACTTTCAAAAAAATTTTAGCTGAACAGTAAATTAAGACAAGTAAAGTCATATGCAGTGAACTCTGACTAATGTAAGTACAGCCCTTACTATGAATAGCGGAGCCATTACACTTGACCGTTAGTTATGTTCTCGAATGACAGGTTGAATTCGAAACTAGATGCATTCAATACAATGATCATCTCAATGGAATATGAGCTAAAGTCTAAAATAATAGTAATTTAATGAAATTGCAAAGCAATATATAAGTGAAATAAAAAATGGCGTGGCAGGTTGTATATTGCTTGAAGATTCCGATTTAATTTATTTGGAATAACATCAAGTGTAAATTCCATTTTAAGGTAAAAGAAACCTTTTTTTTATAATCAGCAACTAACGTTATATTATGAAAGCTATATAAATACAACTAGTTAGTTACATAGAACAATCGACACGCCGTATTCTAAACGAGTTCCTAGCTATTTATACCGGTCGATTAAGAGAGAAAATCTTCGTACTCACTAAAATATAACTTGGGAAGCTCACTATTAGGGTTAGTTTGGCTCGTCGGTAGCCGCGGTTAATTTCTAACAAAGGAATGGTGGGATAATGTTAAAACAATTGCGCATCGGTATGTAAAATGATCAGGCGCGCGCGTCGCGGCAAAACCCATTATTATGAAGTAGAGAGGAACTCTGTCAGATCTAAACTCAACTAATATTATAAATGCGAAAGTTCGTTGTACAGGTACACGACATGTCACAAAAATTATCACATCCTTGTTATTGATTAGAAACTTGTAAAAATGAATATTATGGGCAGCATTTTCTATAAGGAGAAATAATTACAAAACACTTTATGTCTTAATTTCTTTCCAACATCTAATTTTTAATGAGTTGGCTAACTGATGGATTACACTTTTACATTATTTTTCTTCATACCACCGATTCCTTCAGATAAACCCGGCACTGTACACGCCATTGTTTACGACGAGAAGGTTTTTTCATTGATCACTACGAAATCAAGGTAAAATTCACTTTGCATTCATAATTTAATTGAAAACTGCAGCGTGTAGCGTCTGAAGACGTTGGGAAGTGCTATTGTTATCTCTCTTTGTCACATGTTATTTGGTAGTTAGAATTGTGTAAGATATAGATGAATTGTTCGACTAAAATGTAATTCAACTATATAAATGATAAATCTATGGTGTAGATATTGTGATGCACTGACTGACAGCACAGATATTGAACTAAAGATATCGCCATAAAAATGGACTTGCATATGTACTGCCCGCAAAAGTAATCGAATAGTTTTACTTACTATGTTTTAAATAAATTTTCACTCCCAAAGTTTAAATTTTATAATGATAAGCAATAATTATGATAAACTTATGATTAAATACATAAATTATGGTGCAATACGACCCTGTGAGTCAATGTTTACACAAGATAGGGAAACGATTAACAACACTATTGATAATACCATAGATTATAACAACTATCATGACGATATCGATCAAAGTTTACATTTTAAAGCCTTTAAGATGATAATTATTATTATTTGAAATTATTAAAGATCAGTTATGAATTCCTTCACGATAACTAAGTAAACAATTTCTTGTTTCATATTTCTTTTATTATTGCAATTATTTTAGGGCTGTATCTAAAGTATACCGCGGTGTTTAAAAATTCTAAGTTAGATTTTTTTACATTACCGCTATCACAATGGGATAAATAAATAGCACTTAAGCAAAGGCATTCAACATATACAGCCATTCAAGCAACGTTAAAATTGCTGCTGATTTCTTTGCAATGCAATGGAAATTACACGCCGATTATAAACGATTATCCTCTAACATTCAATTAGGTTGCAACTTGAATTCAAACGCTGTGAATATAAAATGGATGCTTTAATGCATCGACGTTCGTTTAAATTAATGTGTAATCAAGATAAAGGCAGTCACACATTTATGTATGTAAGTTTTATTGAGCGTAAATCTTACTAGGCGTACTAAAACCAGAACCTATAAATAAAGTTCTTCATACCTAGGACTTATCTAATTATTTTATTAAGATTGTTCAACCAAAAGTTTTTCTTAATAGGGGATTGCGAAATTAAGGACAATTGACGATATTGTCTTCGCAAAATAGATTTAAATAGATAAAAACTTTAAATATAATTAACGAAAATAGTATTAGTAATTAATAAAATAAAAACACTCTTTTAACATTCGGTTATTCATTTAATTTACGCTAATTGAGTGTTGTGGTCACTTAATATATCATTTGCTTTTGGCATTCAATTTAATTACCATTGTTAATTATCAAAATCGAACAATTCCATTTTTTATTACATTTGCTTTACTAAAATTAAAGTTAAACAGTTTTTTTAAACGATTTTACAGCTAATATATTTTCCATCTTAACAACATATATAGAAGAAATTTTAAATTTATTACATTAACGGTCTGTCGCACAAACATACATTAAATTCGACATTAGTTTAAAAAGACATTACTGATACAAATTTGACAATCAAAAGAGCTTAAGGGCGTCATTAAACCTTATTGGACGTTTGTACTATGTGACTTGTCACTTGAATTGTGACAAAACTTTACCAGCCAACATAAAACACATTCTCTATGTCAACCTCGATGACGAAGTTGTCAGCGCGCTCGGCCTGTGGTTACTTGTGTTTAACCAACACTCACTAAGGTCATGGGAAGTGTCATAAAAAAATAATTATCTAAAGCTCATCCGTACTTTGGGATTGGAAGGCGTGTTATAGTTACATCTGGCAGCAAGTTATCGGTTTTTACCGTCGCCATATCCTAACTTGTCCCTCAGAAGTCAGAAGCCACCTTTTGTTAGAGCGAGAAAGACGTTGCCTATCGTTCCAAGGATTCTGCGGCGTGCTATCACAAACCTCGATATGGCGACGAAAAATGATGATACCATGCTGCATAATGTAGTCCTCAATGTGCTCTTTAAGTTGGAGCATTTGTATCTAGGCGTCAAAGAGCTGCTTAGTTCCCTTCCTCCATTACATTAATGGAGGAAGGGAACTAAGCAGATACAGTGCACAAATTTATACAACTTGTGATATTTGAAATGTCACATTACAGGCATATGCTCAAGTCAGGAAAGTGGTACTCTAATGTAATGCTCAAAATAGAATCTGAAATGTCACATTATAGGCAAATATTCTAAGTGTGAGCTCCTTTAAAGCGTTGGTTAAGATTGTGTAACATGCTAAAGATTGCATAATATGCATTGCATTTATGTTACGCCTATGACTCATCTTCCATATAGATTCTATCCCAAATCCTATATCCCAACAGAGGGAGCACTACCGTTACCCAAAGACCATGAATTTATAATTGGCAATCAAGTTTCTCTTCCGCTGCCAACTGAATATGTAACTATAAAATACTGTTACAATTAGTTTGGGTTTAAAATACGGTTTTAACTTACCCACATCACCAGAAGTGAAGTTTAGCCTGGCCGTGGAGAGGGGGCTGTCCTCGTGGTTGCACATGTCTCTGAAGCAGCACAGCAGCAACGAATGTTCCCCCGATGGTGGCGGACGACCAGCCACTGGGGAGTTCTGACATCTTGACAGTGCCTCATTCTCCCTGGAAACAATGGAAGTAGTCAAGGTTAGGTATGTTGCATATTTTTAAAATAAGTAATTATAATAAAGTCTGTCCGTTATTCTGTCACGATTAGTTTAAAATTGTATTAGCAATATTACGGCTGATTTTCATGAATTTTATTTGTTTGATATGGAGTCAACTCTAACAAGTCATAAATCATAAAAATCACAGTAGCAATGACCGATTTATTTATTACAACATTCGAAAAGTAAAAAAGAAGTTGCCATGGTCCGCACAAAGACTTATGACAATTGAGATAAAGCTCTAAGATGTGCACGATGTTTATGTCAATGGCGTTGTATTAATAGATTGTTATGTCATAATATAAGTGAAGTTAAACAGAGGCTATACCCAATACTATATTTATTAATTATAGCAGCAGTTTTTCCGCGACTTCATCCGCATAAATTATATGCTATATTACCCGTGTATAATGTATCTTTCCGTAGGTGAGAGAAATGAAAATATCGGTCTAATAGATTTAGAGCCAATGCAAATGAATAAAAAAATAATCAAATTTTTTATCTTCATAATATTAGTACGGACAAGAGATTACGAATTCTCCGGTTTCGTGAAGCAAATTTCAGAATGAACGTGTCATGACCGAGGCCTTTGACTGTGCATGCCTTTGCCTCGAGCAATGCACATTTGTACAAGCCTCCAAGAAAATGCTCGCGATAATTCTGTCTATATGAACCCGAAAATTTAGTTTTAAATTTTTTTGCCGAAAATTTATTTCTAAACAAAAACAAAACCATATACAGCCGTATATGGTTTTGTTTTTGTTATCCCTGTTGTTTATCCCTAAGACGAGTATGGTGCCATAATTTTTAAGATAACTTTATTGTTTCACGGCATTGGGAATTCTGAAACGGAATACTTAGACAAACGATTACAATCATAACCAAATCACGGATATATTGAAGAAACCTAAGCCGGCATTCTTGTATAAAAAAATTCAAAACAATAGTGTGGAGGAAGCAATAGGTAAATTTCAGATTCCTGCAAAATGGAAGGAATGTGTGTGACATTTACTAATCCGCCAGGAAACAGCTGTAAAATTTTAGATAGCATAAGTATCATGCATCCAGTTTCTCGGGTCATAGTATAGCTGTCAAATCTTTCGTTTGTTCCGATTCTCATGACACAAATGCCACATTGCCAACTATTCATTTTATAATGAGAAGAGGAACGATTAAGATGCCATCTCAGACATTTTGAATATGAAGGAATATATATATATTTATAATTCGTACCTATAACGTCTATTTGTTATTCATTGAATTCTAGAATGGTACATGTTGATATAACCTTTTTTTGTCTACATTTTCCGATTGCGTTATAAACCTAAGAACGTTGTTGGCCTCGATTCTATCGCTTGCTACGTGTTATGTACGATTGACGCAAAAAAACACTATTTGCCTATAAGTAATATGAAAATAGAGCTAAGTGCTAAGTTGCCTATTATATAACGATCATGATAAGATTAAGAGATACTATTTTAGAAAAGTTATGATCGAGTAGCATGACGAACTCAAAGATCCGAAAAACGCTTGAGACTCGAGAAGCTCGAAAAACGAGAGAGATAGATGTACCTAAGTATTCAATTTACTAAAATAAAAAATGCCTGACTCTGCGCTGTATAATCCGAACATTATGCTTTAAAAGGCGGACTTTGCCATCTATCCAGATATGTCCATACAATAGTTATACAATTGTTTTTGGTCTCGCTTTCGCATGTTTCTCGAGTCTCTCGAGTTTGTCATACCACGTAGGCTGTAGTTTTAATAATTGAACACATGACAAGAAAAAATGAAGAACCTATATCTAGTGCAAGATAAGGTAATTTTTATTTTCCCCCACAACTCTCCTTAACCGTACTTAAAGATAATGGCTTTAATTAAATATAATTGGATGCAGATATTAAACGCGTCAATGTCACATATATCACTATAATATACAGTCTAGACGCCTTTGTTTCTGAGACATCTGCTAATGTCAAATGTCAAGTGGAGACAGGTGTCAGGAGACATGACGCCAATACGATTTAAAATAAGCGTCTATGTAACAGTTCAACTTTTGATACTATATGGAGCATAAGAAATTGATTATGAAAGAATTGCTCGACCCTTGACAAATCTTATACCATTATAATTGATCAATTTCCATCCCATCTCAGAGTGCCAAGGACAAAGTGTTTTTTAAGCATCTTCCATTAAGAATAAAATGTTATATAATTTCGATGCCTTTTATAGGTTGCGGACAAAGTGGATTTTTAAGCATTTAATATTAAGAACAAAATGTTATATTATTTAGATGCGTTATATATATAAATTACGACATAATGATCCTTGATACATATTTTTATATAATTGTACAATCATATTTAGGTGCTTGCTTACTCCTTAGTATTAGAATGACCAATTCAAATGTTAATAACCATGAAAGTTTAAAAGAACATATTAATCCATTGTAGTTTTTGAATACATTACATTATTGTATATTTAAAAAAAAAGCTGTGGTGATGTACCTTGTGGCAGTTTCGAATTTGTAGCATTGTCACTCGCTTTTCTATTTAGCCAATAAATAATGTAACCTTCCAAATATGAACACTGATATACTGATATGATTGCGCAAGTTAAATATTGATAATTACAATTTGTCTCATAACAAAAAGACAGAAAACCCTTTAGTCTTAATTTGGATGACTGTTTTAGGGTACGCTAAAAGAAATGAGATTTTGGCAATTTCGTTCGCAAATTCTTCAGAACAAATAAACTTTGTATTGGAAGCGACGCAGAACTGTATGGTTCCAACGATTTCCGTATACCGACTATCTATACGCAAATGGTGTAACGACCTCATTTCATTATTTCCCTCATACGTTACATAAAATACCGATGTATTCATGTATACGAATTGAATACAAATTCTGTTACAACGACGCGATCTCAACATCTATCACCAGATAATATTCTTGCGTCCATAGCATACAGAATGAAGCTTCGTGCCCGTCCCACGGACACTGCTCTCACGCACACACAAAATTAACATTAAATTAATGGTTTTTAACTTGAACATTGGTTATTCGGTCGACATTTACCTCTGTAATTACTCGACCACTCACCGAAACCTTGTTGTTTAAATTATTTAGTACTAGTGGCCGCCAGCGACTTCGTCCGCGTTTTCCATTATTTCTTCGCTCCTAATAATTGCAGCGTGATGTTATATAGCCTAAAGGTTTACTCGATAAATGGTCCATTCCACACAAAAAGAATTTTTCAATTCGAACCAGTAGTTCCTGAGATTAGCGCGTTCAAACAAACAAACTCTTCAGCGTTATAATATTAGTATAGGTACACGTCAATAACAAAAGGATAAAATGGAACAAAAGCAACAAAAATAAACGGTGATTCATTTCAACTACGATCTTTGTTATCGTAACTGCGTCAATGTGAGACTAAGTAGTTGCTCCTGATAAGAGCCGGGGACAAGTCTCTGCGTGTCCTGTCCTGGTTAAACAGGTCGCTTGAAATTTCATGAAACATACCGACTAAAGTAGATGTTACTTAACGCACGTGTTGAAATCAATAGAAGAATGTTTTTATAATTAATAATAATAACGCATCCTCAATCTCAGTTGGAACGCAATAATAGAATAACGCCTGTCACGTGAATTGAACCATAAGCAAAGAATTTATAGACTAGCCAAAAGTGCGATTCAGCGCTCGGACGTCCGTCTAGTAGGGATGAAACGATACGAGAAATACAAGTACTTATTCGATACTTTTCTTTCGATACCAACTGTTTTGGTTTCGTTACTTTAGAAGCGTGAAAAGAGTAATATCGTGAAGTAAGAATTTGTATCAGTCCTACTTGGTCAGTCACTCAATGAGGGGATTCAAAAAACTCGCGTTCTTGACTGTTTACTCTGTGATATGGAGTCTAAAGTCTGTCTCATGAAAAATTCTCACTGGCGAGATGTCACTGTCGATTTACAAGAAGCATTACTAACACCCACTCATTTTATATAGTCAAAAATCTATCTAGAGAAAGGCCTGCCAACGAAATTTTAAAGTTCTAACTATATGCATCGCTTTTTATGCCTGGACCTGCTTCTCCTTCTTCCGTAAACAGAGTATTGCTATTGACTATCAATAGTATCAAATTTGCTCTAAAAACGTATAAAAATGATGACTATGGTGAGTTATTTTAAAACTTGTTTTCGATACGAGTAAGTATCGATACTTTTCATTTGATACCGAGTAGATACCGATGCTTCACGTCCAATATGGTATCAAGTAATAGTATAGTATACCTAGGTGGAATGATTTCATCCCTAGCGTCGATTGAGTAAAACTCAAGAATGTCTCCTGTTAAAATTATTTATTTAATATAAAAAATACGCTAAATAAAACCATTGAGTTTTGTACGTCTTTGACAAGTGACATATATATTTATATTTTTTAGATACATAAATCAATAACTAAAGAGTTACAATACAACATCTCCTAGCACTCATGGTCGAACCTTGAATACGCAGAACCACATTTCCGGATTGAACATAGTTCATCCTATAAACGCGATGCGGGCCCTAATTATTTTTTTATTTATTAATTAATTAATAACATTTAAATTAGTCAATTCTGCTCATGTAATAAGTCAATTTGCCATTGAACTACTTCCTAAAACCTAATATTTTTAGTGCAATGTCTTCTTCATTCATCAATGGTACAAAATAACAACCTAACAGGCAGGTTGTGTGTTGTTGCAGGTTGTTGTGTAATAATGTAACAACAAATGTGTAAAGAGATGTTATGGACGCTCCATTGGCTCTGCATAATTACCTAATATTAGTATATAGGGTACTTTTATCTAAAGTCAAAGCAGGGTTTTCTCTTTGAACGAAATATTGCCTAAAAACATTGCGACAAGCCCTTTATAAGTGTAGACAGTCCGACGCCAAGACTAGGCATTTT